ACAGCTGTTGCACCAAAAACAGGGCCTGGTTTCTCAAATGGCCATGGGTAGCTTTTCCCATGTGGTGAAAGTCATCTTCTTGGTGGTTTCCCTAATGGTTACCCCGTGTAAGAGACACATTCAGATCAACCCCCCCAATGCACACTTGGGTATGGGTCAAACTGCCCCCTTCAGGAGCCCTCTAGGCCGCAACGCTTTGTTTTCGACGAGGCGCCGCGTGCTCGGAGCTTGTTGGGCGTGCCTGGCCCGCTCGCGGCTTCGCCGTTCCCTGTCACAAACGCACAAATCCCCGCGGGCGGCGAAGAAAAGCCGGACATCGTCGCAACCCCTAGGGAAGCAGAGCCGAACATGCGGATGAGTGCGGCCGGCCGAGGCAGGGCCAGCTGGTGCCAGCTTCGGACACGGAGAGTGAAGGCTCTCAGGAACCCAAGGACATCGTCTGTTTTCGATAGATGATGTGGATGGTTAAATGCCAACCAACAATGGTTTCCCATGGTTGTTCAAAGTGGTGCAGGATTTCGTCCATCCAAAGTAGCTTGGTTCTTTGATTTAAGACAGCCCAGCCTGTTTGAATCAAGGGAAATCATGACTTTATTCGCACAGCGACTTGGGCTTTCCGCTACGGGCACTTCATCCCCCTACCCACAGAGCCGGCGCATCTTTTCTCTGCCGTTTTTTTTTGGGGTAGGACTCAGAAAGGGAACACCGTGTTGGGAGGTCCATCTGCAGCTTTCTTTTCACGCGCAGGACGCCCGCAGGGCGCGGCAGCGGAACGTTTTCCAAAGCCGAGTGCGGCGCAAGGCAGGCTGCAGGGCGCGCGTCGCGCGCATGGAACGCGCGGCTTTCCAACGAAGGGATTGATTCCAGGGGGTGATTCCTTTTCCATTCTTTTCAACCATCATTATTTTCAACAACCGGCTGTTCCTCCTGGGCTTTGATGGTTTCCTGAAAAGAAGGATCCCTGGAAAGAATGGGGAAGGTCCCCTAGATTGATGGGCTGATGGCGCCATGCTTTGTTGTTTTGGCACATCTCCAGCTTGGAGGATGTCAGTTTCGGGCCTTCAGCCTTGCTCCGAACAGGGTGCCAGACGTGGCTAGCACGTGTTCCTTTAAGGAAGCCAGGCTATCTCTTTCTCTCTCTCTCTCTCTTCCCCTCCCTCCCTCCCTCCCTCCCTCCCCTCCCTCCCTCCCTCCCTCCCCTCCCTCCCTCCCTCCCTCCCCCTCCCTCCCTCCCTCCCTCCCTCCCTCCCTTTCTCCCTTTCTCCCTCCCTCCCTCCCTCCCTCCCTCCCTCCCTCCCTCCCTCCAGCCCACGAAAGTGAAAGCGCAGACAACCGCGAGTTTATTCGTCAACCCGCAGAAAGCCCGTAGAGGGTTTCCCTTTTGTAGGTTGCGCAAGCTGCAGAACGTAGAAAGCCACGAGTTTTTTGAGGTTGACCCCGCAGAAGCCAGCAGGTTGTAAACCACCACGTCTCCGAGACAGCTCGGGCCTTTGCGAGACCACGCCCGCGCAAACGTCGCGAGTTGCACACATGCGGAAGCACGCGCAGGCGCACGTTCTAGGCCCGCTTCTCTTTCCCAGTTCTCTCACAATTTCCAGCTTTTGGTGCATGCTTTTGCAGAGAGAGCTCGCTCAATCAGCCCCAGCACGGGATAATACCAGATAAAATATAGAGAAAGACGGAGGAGAAGAGAAAGGGGAGTAAGAGAAAGAAAAAGAGAAAGAGGAAGGCCAAGAAACAGAGAAAGAGGAAGAGCAAGAGGGGGAGAGAGACAGAGGGAGAGAGCGAAAGCGAGAGAGAGAGAGAGAGAGAATAGAGAGAGAGAGAGAGAGTGAGGAAAAGACGCGGGCTCCAAACTACAGTTCTTGCATATGTTTGAACCTTCCGCCACCGGCTTTGCCTGACATTGCTGGTAAGTTGTAGCAACAAGAGTCCGCAACATGGCACCAGCAACCAAATACCAAACTCTGCTTCTCAAAGCAGCAGGAAGTTGTGCAAGATGTGCTCGTTGCATCTCATGGTGTCCGCGGTTTGTTTTCTGGGCGGCCAAAGTTGCGTGTTCAACATGCCAGGCTGCTCCTCAGTCCACTGCCTGCCTATCCTTGCCAGTCCTGGTGGAGGATGCATGGGCGAGGTTTGATGAGCACTGTTTCCCCCACAAGCACAGGATGCCTGCTTAGTGTTGGACTGCCGCGTTAGGAATGACATGTGCCATGTTGACACATGTTGCAGGAGCGTGTGGGTGAGAAAACCGCCTCGGCATTCTGCTTTCTTCCTGCGACTCGGCTTGATTGACGGCATCGCAGCCATTGAGAGAATCTACCGCAGGTGCGGGTGCAGAATGTCACGGAGGGGTGCCGGGCTTTGCACGTTGACATGCATGGATCGCATAGAATTGCATGAACACCGGGGCGCCGGGAGCGCATCAGAGGCTTTTGTTTGCTTGAAGAAACGAATGAACTGGTTTTCTTCAGGGCAGCCGATGGCTCGGGCATTCGACCAAGAATCAGCTGCCCTGAAAGGTCTGAAGGAGAGGGGGCAGTGAAGTTTGGATCCAGCCAGACCCCCCAAGTGGTGTGAGTTCCTTGGGCCATCGCAAGAGGTCCAACTTCACTGTGAAATCGCAAGCGGGCCATCGCAGGAGCTCCGGGCGCCGGAACCTCATCTTCCACCTTTGGCACTGCGCCTCTTGTGTTTTTCTTCTGAAAGCCCCCCCCGGTGTGGCCGAACCATGCGTCGTTCCCCACGTTGCAGACGGATGACTCGTTCGATCAAAACGCCCGGAGAACTCCCCTGGCGGTTTTGGGAGAGACGCGGTTCCGAGGTCATCCTGCTCCAGCAGCTCTCAGCCCTTCTGCGACTAGATGCTGGGGCCCGAACTCGATGTGCGAAAGGCCTCCGGGTCGGTGTTTGGCCAGGTTTTGTTTCCGGTGAGTGCTCTAGGATATGTAGCTTTTCTTTTTTTTGGCTGGAGGGTTGAGGGCGCTCTTGATGCTTGTTTGGGGGTGCGGCTTTCTTTTTATGGCGCTGAGTCATGTGTTTTGCGGCGCTCGTTTCGGCCCCATGAGCCTGGCTTAGGCTCATGGGACCGCTTCATGCCAGGAGAGGGGCCGGGTGCGGAGGGCTGAATCTTGGGACTTGGCTGTGGGTCAAAATTAACGGGATCCCATTTCGGGGTAGGTGCACCACCCATTTTAGTCTATTTTAGTGGGGATTGAGATGTTCACTGGGGGTACGGGGTTTTGACCAATGGTCGCTTGAGTACTTCGCTGCTCAAGGGAAAGCTGTGCATTCTTGAGCACAGCTGAATACACTTTGTCGCTACTTGCGAGTTGGGAAGAGGCACAAGAGTGCCTCCTGTCACGCAAACATACAACTTCCTTCTCCATAGGATACCTTCTCCATGGTCTACCTTGCATTTTGAATGGGGAACTGACACTTGGCAGCTCGAGTTGTTGGATGTACTGGGTTCTAGCCGGGTTGTTTTGGTTCTTATATATGGCTTGGTTTTGCGGGTTGGTTTGGGTAAGGATCGCATACGCCAGGGCTGCTGGGAGCCAGTGCCCGCCCTCTCACTCACGGGCCAGAGACTCAACGCGGCGAGATGGAGATCCAAAACGGCACGCACATACAGTATGCCACAGGAGCCACATGTTTACGGATCCATGCCGTGTTTCGGATGTTCAAGGTGACTGTCACAGACACATATTGGTGAAAAGGTGCAAGAGCATCATGTGGAAGTTGAGTTCAGTTTCCCGTTGGCGTGTGAAGCTACCGGTGTACTGCGCACACAGCTCTCATCTGCATGTTTTAGACAGTTCGCTCAAAACCTGGAGATGTTCTGCAAAGTCTCCAAGCCATATTATATAGCATTTACAGCCTTTACACATAAATCTGTATACTGGCAGTTTTTACTTGGTAGGTGGCTAGCCCCAGATTAACCAACCCCAGTTTGTGAAAATATGGGGGTGGGGCCCCTCCAAAGTGGTCTGAACCCCCACCAAACTCAGAATCGGACACGCCCCAATCAAATAAACGCGGGTCAGCTCTCTTTACCTCTCTTCTGCATATCTTCCTCTACTGGGCTCTTGACCGGAACGCTGGTCCCGTATTCTTTCTGGACATTTTTTTCTGAGGCAGCTCTCTTCTCCTCTTTTTGATGAACATCCGGGGTCAACACTATTCTAGGGGTTGATTCCTTGTCCATTCTTTTCAACCATCGTTCTTTTCATAACCGGATCCGTTTCCACTAAGATTTTGATGGTTTCCTGAAAAGATCCGGATCCCCGGAAAGAATGGGAAAGTGTCCCTTGAAGGGCCTGAATTGATGACTCCACGCCCATGGGGGGCTTTCCTTTCAGGACCTTTGTTGACGCGTTTGACCATTTATGCAAGATGTCCAATCGGAGGAAGGTTGTTTTAGTGGAAAAATAGCTGGGTTTCGATTGCTGGTTTACCTGGTGGTTTTTGCTCTACCAGGGAAACCCATCTGGCTGTGGCTCAAAAAAGTGGTATCAAAATGGCACCTTGGTAAATGGCACCAAAGACTAAAACCCGCGTAACCCCAGCTCTGTAATTTTGAGCCATACCCATGTATTTCCCCCAAAAGGACACCGATTCCGCCAGTTTCGATCAGCCGCGCCCAGCTGGCCACACCGGCGTGGCTGCCCGCGCTGTGTGCCACTCGGCCTCCGCCTCGGAGTGCGGCATGGAGCAGTTGGCCCCCAGCCATCCCCTCAGCTTGGCATTTTTTTTAGCCTTTGGATGTTTGGCGGTTGGGCTTTCCATTTAACCCACCAAAAGTTAGATTTTAGAAGGGGAGTTAGATTTTAGAAGGGGACCTGAGGGGATGGTTTCTTAGCGAGGGCAACCATGATTGGAGTAGTTGGCAGCCCACGCGTCAACAAAAAGTCCTCGCCGCCCTCCCCCACCAAAAAAACACATATTGCCTGTGTAGGGGCAAGATCGAACAAGTTTGGGCATTCGAACTGGCCTCTGCCAGAAGCATTTTTGGCTTTGAGCGCTCGTAGCGGTCTGTGTTTGAATCGACCCTTCAAAGACGCCATGGCAAGCTCAGCGGTCCGCCCTTCGGCGCGTGGGAAGTCGTCACCAATTTTGACCTCGCTGGTATGTGGCTTCCTGATGCACCTTGAATATTTTCACGGGTGACAGCTGGGGTTTTGAAGCCAAACCCCAAGGTCAACATGCAAATGCCAGCGCAACCCAATCTGAGGCGCCCGGGAAGTGCGGAAATCCATTGGATTTCTTGTGTGATTCATCCACAACTAGTGGCGCGAGTCATGCCTTTGCACGCGCAAGGTATTTTGGCGTGCCCATGGCCTTCTCCTCCTTGGCTGTTCGGCCACTGGTGCAGAAGCAGAGACATTTTGGCGTGGCACGCCGGGCGGAAAGTGCGGACACCGCGACCGCCACGGAGGTGAGCGAGGATGAAGGCGAACAGTTTGAGTTTCAGGCTGAGGTGGGCCGAGTGATGGACATTATCATCAACTCCTTGTACTCCAACAAGGACTGCCAGACACTGCAATCGTCCAAACGTCAAGCTTCCTTCTGCCTTGTATTCTTGGTGCCTTCATTGTTTGCATCTACACCATTCATGTGAACCTGCTTGCAAGGCGAAATCCTGCTAAGTGGGCTTCCAAGCTTCATGGGGCATCACTTTTTGCTTTTCACAAAGGACGTTTTCCTCCGTGAGCTCGTCTCCAACGCGGCGGACGCCTGCGACAAGAAGCGCTTCCTGGCGCTGACGGAGAGCGACTCGCCGCCGGAGTCTATGAAGCTGCGCATCAACTCCGACAAGGCCGAGCGTGTCAGTAAACTTCAATTTGCTTGAGACTATGTTTTACTTCCCCTCTTGGTTTTAATGGGAATGTATCACCACTGGAAATTTGTTTTATGGCCTTTTTCTTTCTGGGGACCTATCCAAATGGAGGTAAATAGAGGGTCCCTCAAAATGGCAGTCGCCTGAATTGTCCGGATTCCTCTTGATCTGCCATCAAATGCTAGTCGTGGCAAAGTTGGGCATTGGGTTGAGGCGGGTACCATGTGAGCGGTTTGTTTGGATTTGTGCAGGGTCTTCTAAATTCTGCATCCATGACAGGTACTGCGTGAGCTCTTGTAGCATGCAATCATGGCATGCCATTGTTCGGCCTGGATGTGGGATTCAAATCTCGCCAGCCTGGTGTAGATGGGCAGGCAATCGGACGAGCTTCACAACAGGAGTTGCATAGGGGTACCCTCCCCATTCTTTCCAGGGATCCTTCTTCCTAGAAAACCTCCAGAAACCCAGGGAAACGGATCCGTTTTTTGAAGAGAACATTTTTTGAAAATAATGGAAAAGGAATCAACCCTAAGATGCATGGCGAGTGGCCACGCTCGGTTGCGCGCATAAAATTCGCGAATCGGAACAGAGCCTTGGCGCAGGATGCCCGCACGCTGACCATTGAGGAGAGGGAGGGTTGGGGGAACACGTGGCAGCTATTGGGGCGCTGAAATTTGATGGCTTGTTCCCTGTCGGGTTTCCATTTTGGGTCCCAAAGGAAAGTTCCAGGTCCCTTCGACCTGGGAGTTGACACCCATGTGCCGCACCAACATGTTGCCATTGACCACCTTCTTTTGAACTTCAATCGCCCCTCTTTGCCGCAGTGGAAGCCTGCCCCTTCTTCGGGTGTACGACTTTTGGGGGAGCAACCATGGAAGCCAAACGTTGGCCCAGGGGTTTTGGAGTTGGCGACTTTTGGGGCTGTCCACTTTGGATGTTGGCTCAAACCCTATCGTTGAGGCGCAGTCCCAAAGTGTCATTTTGATTCTTCACCCGCCGATAGGGAGCGTGAGCTTTGTCTCACTTCCTGAGTTCATGAACTTTAAACTTTTTGGGAAAACCATATTAGTGGTAAATGTAAAGTTTGGACTTTTTTTGGGCCATCCACTCAGCCAGTGAGTTGTTTAGATCGTGAGACAGGTTAGTTTTACCCCACTGACCGCACCAGGACAACGGCGTGGGCATGTTGCAGGCGGAGCTGAAGGAGAACCTGGGCCGCATCGCCCGCTCAGGCGAGGCGGAATTGGGTGGGGCAGAGCCACTTTTTGGGGCGCTCTGCGCCACAAGCAAAACCCGGTGAAGTGTAGGCGGACGGGTACCACTTTTGGGCTAGGTGCACCACCCATTTTAGAACCTATTTTAGTGGGGATTGGGATGTTCACTGGTGGCTAACCTGGATTTTGACCCATGGCCAAATAGGTGAAGATGTCCGCCTCAGGCTTTGAGTTGGACGGCCTTGCATTTGGCTAAAGCTTTGAATGCAACGGTGCCACGCCGATTCCAGCACGAGACCTGGAATGGGAGGGGGGGGGACACATGAAACTGTATTTTTCAGGTTGCCAAAAAGTGGTGGTTTGGATTGGTGGCTTGGGGATTTCAACCCCTGGCTTTTGTGGCGGGTAGATGGGAACCCTCCTTCACCACCAACCACCAATCCAAATCACCAACTGGAAGGAAGCTGAATTTTCGATGTCATTTTCCTGCTCGGCCTTGTGCTGCCCAGGACAATTGCATCTGAGTTCTGTTAGAAACCACCCTAGTAGAGGACTAGTATTGCAGCGACCCAGGTTTTTGACACACGCAGCGAAATGAGGCCGCCCCGCCTCTGAATCAACTTGATAGCGTGGAGCCCGCCAATAGCAAAATAAGCGGGAACGACATCCGAACGACATCCCAGGTGCGGTTGCTTCTTTCTTGTATCTGCAGAACTGCAGGTTCAGTTGAGAACTGGTTTAGTGTTATTGGTTTTGCGCTCTTTGGAACACACGTGCATGTGTTCCTAGGAACACAGACTTAGTTGGGAGTTCGAGGGTGCTTCCTTTTCTATATGCGCTTGTGCTGAAAAATTGCGACTTTCGAGCCGGAGCTGCCAGAGTGCATTTCCTTCACTACACTCGTACTGAAAAGTTGCGACTTGCGAGCCGGAGCTGCCAAATATTTCCTTTTTCCACACTTATATTGCAAAGTTCTGACTTTCCAGCCGGAGCTGCCAAAATTTGTTTCTTTTGGTACACTTGTACTGAAAAGTTGCGACTTTCGAGCCGGAGCTGCCAGAGTGCATTTCCTTTACTGCACTCGTACTGAAAAGTTGCGACTTGCGAGCCGGAGCTGCCAAATATTTCCTTTACTACACTTATATTGAAAAGTTGCGACTTCCGAGCCGGAGCTGCCAATGTGTGTTTCTTTTACCACACTTGTGCTGAAAAGTTGCGACTTCCGAGCCGGAGCTGCCAGAGTGCATTTCCTTCACTACACTCGTACTGAAAAGTTGCGACTTGCGAGCCGGAGCTGCCAAATATTTCCTTTTACTACACTTATATTGAAAAGTTCCGACTTTCCAGCCGGAGCTGCCAAAATCTGTTTCTTTTAGTACACTTGTACTGAAAAGTTGCGACTTTCGAGCCGAAGCTGCCAGAGTGCATTTCCTTTACTTCACTTGTACTGAAAAGTTGCGACTTTCGAGCCGGAGCTGCCAATGTTTACTTGCGATAGTTGTTGTTGCAAGCGTTTTTTCTGACAAGGATGTCAACAAAATGAGGCCGCCCAGCATGAGACTGACCACATCATATCGTGGGCAGAAGGAAAATTAGGGGGGTTTCCAACAGAGCTCATCTGGGGGTTGGAGTTTCAATCCAGGAAGTCGCCCCTCAAATGATGGATCCTTTCTTTTGTTCTTTAAGAGAACCTTGTTGTTGGCCCTTTGAAAGGACAGCTAAAGCAGCAACCGTCATTTTAGTGGCGACCCTTGAACAGGGTACCAACTCAAAGAGCACCGTGTTTTTTTAGAAGGTGTCCGAGCCGAGCGGCAGGCACCGCGAACTTCGTCAAGGAGCTGGGCAGCGGCGAGGCGGACGTGAGCCTGATCGGGCAGTTCGGCGTCGGCTTTTACTCCGCCTTCTTGGTGGCCAACAAGGCAAGGGGGATGCGAAGATGGTGATCCAACCAAACCACCTGCGGGGAAAACGGGATTGTTTGTTTATTTTTGTTGATTTGTTTGTTTGTTTTTGTATTTGTTTATATACATATCATAAGACCCTGTATATGCCGGCCAAAAGAATCGCCCGAGCGTATTGTAGCCAATTGAAGCCCTGAGAGAGTGGAGTTGGGGGCCGCGGTTTGTGGATGTTTTCTTTTCTGCTCATGTTTTGATGCAGAGGTGGAAGTCTACTCCAAGAGCTTCCGGAAGGAATCGGATGGTAAGACCTGGAAGTGGTCCTCCACCGGCCAGTCCTACTCGATTGTGGATGCTTCGGATTCAGCGTTCCTGAGCTGAAGCGGGCGACTGTCATGCTTTTTTGTTTAGTGGCATGTCCTGGTTGTGCCAGGCCCCACTGCCCCATGGGGAACGCCTTCAAAATGGTTGGCGGGCATGAATTTCTATGTGGCTGTGGGTCAAAACCAATGGTACCATTTTGGGGTAGGTACACCACCCATTTCAATCTTTTTTAGTGGGGATTGGGATGTTCACTGATGGTACGTTGTTTTGACCAAAGGCTCCAGATCAATTCCCATTTGATTTTTGAAGGCGCATCTTGTCGAAGGCTCTTCGGCGACCAGAGCGGTACCAAGATCGTGCTGCACCTGCGCGAGGAGGCGCAGGAATATTTGGACACCGGCAAGCTGTCTGACCTGCTGAAGACGCCCGGCTCGTATTTGTCTCGCGCACCTTTGCGTTGTTGAGCCCCACTGCCCGATACGTTGGCAAAAGCGCCAAAGCGCCAATCACCGACCAAAGGTAGAGGCGAGAATTGGAGGTTTTGTCAGTCTTGCATGTACGTGCTGGGCCTTGAGGCATGGGCTGCAGTGTTTTGTGGTGACACTTGCAAGCCCCAGGAAGTACAGTGAGTTCATCACCTTCCCAATCGAGCTCTACAACGAGAAGGTGCAGTACGACCAGGTGCCTGATGAGTCCGCCCCACCCCCGAAGGAGGGTGAGAAGCAGAAGATGAAGAGTGTGCCTCGCTCCGTCTTCGAGTGGGATGTGATGAACAAGATGAAGCCCATCTGGCTGCGCAACCCCGATGTGGTGAATTCCTCTGAGTACACCGAGTTCTACAAGACAACCTTCAAGGCGGTGCACAAGGGTTCCGGTGCACGGATGGCCCATGTGCCCTCCTCATGGGTGAATTGCCCTCTCCAGTCCGAATCTTAAGCAATTTGCTTGGCAAAGAATCATTGTTGCACGGCGCTCCAACTTTGCGTTTCAACTTCTCGGAGCTGACCGCTGGCCCTTTGCGATGGAAGGCGGCTTTTTGGCCAGTCAAGCCCCTTGCCGAGAAGCATTGCGGGTTTGAAACCTTGGGGCTCAGCATTTGCGATCCGCAGGCGTTCGATGAACCGATGACCGTGACCCACTTCAAGGTGGAAGGCCTGTGTCTCATGACACCAGACGCCAGCTCCTGCAAGACATTGGCTGATTCAACCTTGCCTGTTTCACCTGATTCCTGGGAGCTTTGGGTGTGCCTTTGAAGCGGAGGCATGGCTTGTGGAATTCTCTGAGCACCGCAGGCCAGATCGAGTTCCGAGCCCTGGTCTTCATCCCCTCCACCATGCCTTTCGAGCTTACCCGCGACATGTTCTCCCCTGAGGGCAGGGCCATGCGCCTCTACGTGAAGCGCGTCTTCATCAACGACAAGTTCGAGGATGGGGTCCAGGGAAGGGGTGAGGCACGATCGGCATCTTGTGTCGCTTGGTGCCTGATGTTGCCTCATGCGCTCATTTTGGTCCATCTTCAGTTTGGCAATGTGTGTGCCACTGGTGACTGCCCTGGCGAATGGACGGGCACAAGAGACAACCACACAAAAGTGGCGATCAAGATGCGAGTGGCCCACTCATGACAAAACACGTTGGCCTTCGGGGGAGCATGTTGGATTATGTTTGCGGCTGGTCTTTTTGAGAAATTCCTGAGTGTCAGAATGAGGGAACACTTTTGGCTTGACTAGGCAAACGTTTGGCAAGGCACCAAGTTTTTCCGCGCCAGAGGAAACCAACCGGTATAGCTTAGGCCTTGCCTCTATATAACTTTGGTATACATGTGGTATACAATTGGTATAAACATTGGTATCAACTTGGTATCAAAATGGTATAAACATTGGTATCAAATTGGTATAAATTGGTATGAACTAATAGTGACCCTGCCAACAATTTGTAGTAACTATATCCACAATCAGTATGGAGCAACTGCCCAAAATACCCCCTAGCACTGATAAAGAAGGGGGGGTCATTTATTGACCAAGTTTATACCAATGTTAAACACATTGTATGCTGCAGTTATACCAATGTTATACATTTTGTGTTACCACATTAATACCATATTTGGGCTCAGATGTCATACCCCGTTGGTATAAAATCTGTAAAATTGATACAAAATTGGTATGACAATTTGTATGAAATTGGTATGAAATCTGGCCCATAAACTTGGTATATATCCACTAAATCCCAACGGCACGGCCAGATTTCATACCAATTGTTGCATGCCCGGATGTATACCAATGTCATACCAATTTCATACAAAGTTCATAACAATTTCATTTCAATTTTCATACCATTTGTTATATCAATTTTATACAAATTGCATGCCAACTGGGTATGACATCTGAGCCCAAATATGGTCTGACATGTGTATAATGTGGTACCAACGATGTATATCATTGGTATAAATGTAGCATACAATGTGTTTAAAATTGGCATAAATTTAGTATAAAGTTGGCATATACAAGTATGAAATTGGTATTGATTGGTATCAAGTTGGTATAAACATTGGTGTCAAATTGGTATCAAATTGGTATAAACATTGGTATCAAATTGGTCTGAAATGGGTACTGACTTGGCCTAAAGAGTTATTGTTCGAGGCAGTCCTCAAGGTAGCAGGTGTCCAAGAATGTCAGGACGAGTTCCCATCAGGATAAAAAAACAAGCTCTATCATTTTCTTTTTGACCCTCCAAAATGGCGGTTCCCCTTTTAAGACCGCAAAAGCAGGGGGCTTTTCGCGCCCCCGCCCCCAAAGCGGCCGCCCTTCGAGGACTTGGTGCCCCGATGGCTCACCTTCGTGCGCGGCGTGGTGGACTCCGAGGATCTGCCGCTGAACGTGGGCCGCGAGATTTTGCAGAAGAGCCGCAGCTTCGGCCGAAGTTCGAAGCCGAGGGATGTTCCCAAGGGACCCAGCAAGTTGGACCGGATCCGAGAAAAAAATAACATAGACACAAATAAACAGAAGCTGAGGGATCCGGCAAACTGGTGGACCCCTTTTGCTTGCTTTTGGTTGGGACCAAATGGCAGCCTTTTCGCAGAAGCTGAGGCTTACGGATCCGACGAAAAGGTTGCCCAAAGCCGGCCTAGCAAAATAGGTTTTCCAATTTTGGTCCATATTTAGTGGCCCCAAAAGGTTAACCTTTTGGTTCCAGGTGCTTTGGGCAACTGAGAATTCCGCCAAACCGGTTCCCAAGCCGGAGCCCACCAAGTTGGATCGGATCCGGGAAAAACACTAGAGGACGATTGGCCCGAAAGCATTTTCCCCAAGCGCTCTTCCAGCCGCGGAGACACCTTTTTACATCGATGCGGCGAGCGTGTCTGCACACGGCGATGCTCAATGTGTATGGTTACATGAGAGCTCCATCTCATCGTCCTGCGAGAGGAAACATGGCAGTGTCTGCGCAGGCTGCATTGTTCCAGACTACTGCGCGCAAGTTGCTGCCGCGGACCAGGGGGGAATCGAGCCCGCGACCGCGCGACTGCGAAAGCAGGCGCAAACCACGAGACAATTTCCAAAGGCCATTTCGCGAGTAAGAAAAACGCACGGCGCCACAGCGAGAGCGCTTCGACACAAACGATCTCCATAGAGGGCTCGCCGAGACTAACACGAATTCGTACGGCGAGAGCGCGTCGACACGAGCGATAGCCGCGACAACGCCGATCCCCGCAGAGGGTCGCGCGTGCAGATCAGACATCGCAAAACTCCTCGAGTTTTTGTAGCTCGAACACGCCGATCCCCGCAGAGGGTCGCGCGGGCATATCAGAAAAATCCCCTCGAGTTTTTGTACCTCGACCACGCCGATCCCCGCAGAGTGTTAATCCGCGCACCGCAACAACGCAAAAAAAACCTTGAGTTTTTGCACCTCGACCACGCCGATCCCCGCAGAGGGTCGCGCGGGCCCGCAAGAATCGCAAAAAACCTCGAGTTTTTGCACCTCGACCACGCCGATCCCCGCAGAGGGTCGAAATCCCGATCTTGGCTCTATGCACTTGGCTCTATGCGCTCGGCTCTACGCACTCGGCTCTGTGCGCTTGGCTCTATGCACTCGGCTCTATGCACTCGGCTCTGTGCACTCGGCTCTTGCACTTGGCTCTATGCACTTGGCTCTACGCACTTGGCTCAATGCACGGCTCTATGCACTTGGCTCCATGCACTTGGCTCTACGCGCTCGGCTCTATGCACTCGGCTCTGCGCACTCGGCTCTATGCACTTGGCTCTATTTGCACTTGGCTCTATTTGCACTTGGCTCTATGCACGTGGCTCTATGCTCTTGGCTCCATGTACTTGGCTCTATGTATTTGGCTCTGCGCAAGTGACCCTTTGTAAGTTGGTCCGAGAGCTCCGCGCGGAAGAGCCGTTCGCGATGCTTTCGGGAAAGCAAAAACCTGGGCGTTTTCAAGACGGTCAAGGTGGTGCTTTAGCCAAGGTGTTGTAGCCAGTGCCAAGGTATGGCAAAAAACAGATCAAACTGGGCTTGGCATAAGCCTGGCGGATTTTTGACACAGTTTCTGCGAGGTCTTGTGCTCTATGTTTTTGTTCATACAACGATGGCTGAGATCAGGTTCAGAGCTATGGTCGAGCAGCCCCCTACAAGTGCTGACAACAATAGCCCACATGTGCACCTTCAAGAGGCTTCAACAGTAGGAGGTAGCTGCACGGACACACAAAGTTGGAGTGGCCACTCGTCATGCTCAGGAACGCTTAAGATCATCCGCAAGAGGGTCGTGCGCAAGGTGCTGGACACTATTGACGAGCCTTGGCTCACATGATAAAGCAGTCACTGCAACGGAGCCGCACAGGCTTTGGACTGCTTTTTGCAGAAGGGAACTTTTTGCTGAAGGAATATAGCGGCATTCTGCTTTATGTCTCCCTCTTGTGACATGCGATGCCGCTGTGAAATGTTGTGGCCGTCCGACTTCGCAGATCAAAATGATGTGGACAAGTCTCATCGCCATAGCCGCTGAGGGTGCTTCTACAGCCCTGTAGTGCCAAATTACATAGGGGCCCCTTTCCCCTGCCATTCTTTCTGTGACTGTCGTAGATTGCAATGAGTTGCCAATTGTTAAAGGAAGGACCCCCCCCCGGTCATTGGAGGAACCCAAACATCTAGCAACACACATCTTCCTGCAGCCTTGGATTTTCATGGCTGTTAGGACCTCAGGGAGAACGACCCAACCAAGTTCGAGTCCTTCTGGACCAGCAACCTTGCCAGCAATAGCGAAGCTAGCCAGCTCACGCGCATGCGTTTGGCGCATCAAATGCGGCCGTTTGAAGAATGCACCATTGGACGCGAGAATTCTGCTGGAACATCCTGAGGCTACGGAAAGTACTTCAAGGTCGGCTTGGTTGAGGACCTGGACTACAAGGACTGATCTTTCAAGGTGCCTGTTTGTTTAATGAGTGTATATATGGGGACAATGTTTCCAATGCAATGGGTGGTAGAATCTCGGCTCATGAGCCTTAGGCCTGTCACCACAGGTGTGACGGCAGGATCCAGCGTAGCCCTTGCCCTGAAACTTCTTGGGTGGGCAGAGCAATATCCGCTGCCTCCTTTCTTCGACCCTGCATCATCCAGCACTGGTCAGGTGGTGGAACCCTGGAGCTTTCTGCTTGGCCTGATCTGCGGGCTCCTGATCTACACCATCCTTGAGTGGTTTTTCACGTTGCGCTGGTGCATTGTGACTTGGTTTCAACACCACTTCGGGGCTACATCAGTTTCTGGTTCGCGAAAGGAGCTGTACAAGCTCCTTTGATGAGTGACCGGATCACTACCTTGGAAGACGAGGTAGCGGATCTCCGAGAAGAAGTGCAACGGCTGGCTCTCAGCGTCTCTGGCCTCAAGCGTCAGCTGCGTGAGGTGCTTCGTGGCCCTTCTGGGTCTCAAGCGGCAAGTGTGCGTGGTGGGGAGTCTGATCGGTCTGTGGATTCTTTCTCGCTGGTCAGTCGTGCAGACGCAACGGGAGCTTCTACAGCTGCTTTGCGTCATTCTGGCACTGCTGACAGCAGTGAATCTGGATTGCAAGTGCGCGGAGGTGCTCCCGGCTCTTCTGGCTCATTGACTTGGCCTGAGCGCGAGGCAATTGCTGAAGAGATTGGTGGTTGGATCAATAGGTGCTTGGAGGGTCGTCATCGTGGGTTGAGTGGGCGTGAGAAGAACCATCTCGGCTCCAGGATCTACGTGGTGGTGCGTGACTATCCAGGTTCAATTTACTCTCCGGTCAAGGTCTTCAAGTCCTTCACCCCTTGCAAGAACCTGTGCACGCGCAACGGCGAGTCCGGGAACGCAATCTACGTGGGCTTCCCTTCGGAGCGTGAGGCGCGACGGGCGGTGGCTGCAGCTGGACTGATTTGGCCCGGCTTCGTGGAGCAATGAGCGGGGAGGACGACGACACTGCCACTGGCATTTCCTATTTGCTGGGGGAAGGTTTGCTGAATTCAGACTTTGAAGTGCTTTTGTTCACCAGCCATTTGTCTTCTGGTGACATCAAGTTTCAATTGATTGCTATTTCGGAATTTGAAAGCCGACCTTTGGTTGCTGTGCCCCACTCAGTATGGCATCGCAATGTGAATCGCCGGCTACTTGTTTCAGGAGCCCTGAAGAAGGTGACCCAAGTCGAAGTACTGGTAGCCGACTCAGACTCCCCTATGACACAGATAGAAGGCATGAAGATGAAGTTGTGGGTCGGTTTTCTCGAGCCGACTCTTCTAGCGGATGTGGAGGTGTTTTCAGATGGAGCTCAGTGCGATTACTTTTTCATGCAGCAAGGGGAGAAACTTTACATCCCTCTTGCCGCCTCTCTGATTGCCGCAGCCAACGACCATTTTGCATTCTTCTCTGCGCAGGAGGAAGAGGAGGAAGCGTACGATCCCATCGACCCAGACGATCAGCCTCTGGTGGGTGTGGACGGGCGACCTCTGAGTGCCGGCGGGCCTGGATCTGCGGACCTCGAGACGAGGATGGGACATGTGGAGTCAGTGTTGGATGGCCTGCAGTCGAGCATGCAGCAGCTCCTGCAGATGCAGCGTTCCAAGGCCCATCAGACACCGACCAAGACGAAGCCAGCGCCCATGCCAACAAAGCTGAAGGCCAAACCTTCTTCGTCGTCAGGAGCTGCGTTGAAGACGATGGATTTTCCTCACCTCGATCCAGGAGTTGTTCAAGCTGCTCTGCAGGCCGGTGTGTCTCACGAGAGCTTGGGCCAGATGGAGAGGGTGGTCTTGCAGAATGCGCGAGCAAGGAAGACAGCAGATGTGCATGCGAACATCGTTCTGGACCCTCTGTCCGAGGACGGAGGTTCGGCCACGGAGCAGGAGATGGAGGAAGCCCCTGTCGGAGGATCTGGGTCTCAAGTTCAAGACCCATTAGCTTCATCCCTTGCCAAGCTGACCAACATCATGGAGCTGCTGACCGAGGAGAAGCAGAAGAAGACAACTGGGTCAAAGCTAGATTCTGCCCTCGACGCTGTGCAAGCGACAGGGTCAGATGTTACAAGCTTGGGCTCAGGCAAGAAGACAGCTGTGGCAAGGCGGGCGTTGCGAAGCGCTTTCCAAGAGCATCCGGAGGAAGTTCATCTGCTGATCGAAAGACTGATGTTCGAGGACCTGAACTCGCAGACCCTGCCGCCAGGCTGCCAACCCCGAGGTCTGAGCGCACGGGCGTGGGTCGAATTTCGTTCTCGAATTGGGTCCTACAAATCCTCGGCTTACTCCTCGTGGTGCATTGCGGGCATTCTGGATTCTCTGTTGGCCAACAATGTACCTCAGGCCAGAGCCCGTGCCTGTTTGGGTCTGCTGCAGATCGACCAGGCGTCAGTAGATCGAGGTTCGTGGACGCTAGCTGCAGAGCTCAGTCTCGAGCAAGGGCCTCCACTCACAGCAATGTCCCAACATGTGCCCCCCGATGTGATGCAGGGAGATTCGCCATTTTCAAAGCTGCTGGATGCACGGTGGGCAGAAGTGTCGATATCCCACCTTCGCGACCAGGACGAATACCTGACAAAGCGAAGGAATATTGGCAGGAGCACTGGAAAGCCTGCAGAGGAGAGCGGCAGCCTGAGCCCAGACGCCAAGAAAAAGAGCCGCCCCGGAGCCAAACCGAAGGCGGCCACGACTGCGGAGAAGAGTTCAGATGCATGACGGCTCGTGATGAGCCTTTGCCTGCTGATGGTGATCGCTGCACCAAGCCGCCTCTGCCTAAGCTGCCCGGGTCTGATGCCGCCACCGTCAATGTTCCGGGTTTTTTGAATTCGCTGCCCAGGTTGCTGTTAAAGTCCAAATGCGGCCTACAGGGTTTTTTGCTTTCCATCGTGCAGTCCCACCAGGTTAATGATGCCTGTACGTCAATGGCTGGTGTGGTCTGGCCTTGTCCGGTGCCTTACCCGGAGGTTTTCCGGGCGGGTGCGGCGCAGCGGGTTGAGAGCGCACATTTCAAGCGCCTTTGTTGCCTTCAGATTATTGTACTTGATTGGTATTTTCTGGGGTGTCCTGCGGCTGCTCCTGCGTCACTGCGACTTGGTGCCAGGCTCAATGCAAAACAGTGGTCAGTCGTCCGGATGATCGAACACCTTGCCGTTGATCGAAACTTTCCAATTAGTGTTGAGGCGGTTGACATGGGCCGGGCCGCCACGAAGATTGAGGACTTTCAGAAGTGTATGGACGTCCTGGGCCGTGCCACTGCCGACTTGCACAATTTTGAAGGTATGTACGCCCCTTTGAAGCCTAGCAAGACTTGTGTTTTTGAGCACCGTGAGCTACGTTGTGGATCGATTGCTGGGAGGTCAGATCATGACCCTGTCGTCACGGCCAAGCCTTTGTTTGCAGACAGGCTGCACTTTCCTGGCCCTCCACGCTTTGACCCCCGGAAGTTCTTTGATGACTGCACCCTTGAGCGGTACGACAGACCCATTTCGACTGGCCTGTCTCCTGATGATGTTGATGAAATTCCTCCAAAAGTGTCTGTGCGAGCCACGCAGCAGAACAAGCTCGACTTGTACCGCAAACTGGCACTTTCCGGCCGCCTTCAGCCCATCCGGACTGGGACCTTCTATGATGGTTACACTTCTGGCCTCTTCGCAGTTGGCAAGGATCAGCTGAGGGATAGGATGGTGCTGGATGGCAGGCCTGCCAATATTTTGGACGTCGGGCAGCGCAAGTGGTGCCTTGGCATGGCCTCCGCATCATCTCTCTGCGGCCTTTATCTCCAAGCTGGTTGCGACCTTTGCGTCAGTGGCGAGGACCTACGTGATTTTTTCTATCAGTTCCGTGTGAACGATGAACGCATTTCACGCAACACCCTGTGCTCGCCACTGACTTTGGCTGAAGCCAAATATGTGTTTGGAGAGCACTTCAGCTGGCCCGATGATGTCGTTGAGGTTGGGCTTTCCACGCTGGCCATGGGCGATTGTTGCGCTGTAGAGTTTGCGCAATGTTCGCACTTGGCGATGTGCTTGCAGTTCGGGGTCGCTGCCGTGGGTGAATTGCTTTCCCTTCGAGGTTCTGTACCGCGGGGCTTGCTACAAGTGGGGATCATTGTGGACGATTTGATCGTCCTCGAACAGATCCTGAAGACGCAGCGGAACTCCAAGGTCGCCACAAAAGCTGATGCTAGGATGGCGGCCGCGAGAAATGCTTACACCTCTGTTGGCCTTGAATCGAACCCGAAGAAAGCCTTCGCCAATGAGGACAAGTGTCGTTTTTGGGGCCTTGAAATTGACGGAGTTGCTGGACTTCTTCGACCGTCTTCGCTACGCCTCTGGCCTATTTGCTTGGTGACTATGCGGGTGGTGACTTTGGGCCTTTGCACCGTCAGCCTGATCGAGGCTCTTGCAGGAAGTTGGGTTTCATTGCTGGGACTACGGAGGAAGCTCTTTTGCATCCTTGATCTTATTTTTGAACCCCTTGGCATTGCCGACCAGAAGGCGATCATACGGCTTTCCCCAGAGCTGTTATCCGAACTTGGGTCGTTGGTGGTCTTGGCTACGTTGAGTTGTGTTAACCTTCGGGCAGACTTCCTTGAGCAGGTCGTTGCTACGGACGCCTCAGAAGGCTGGATGGCTGGTGTATCGGCTTTTTGCCCTCGAGACATCGTTGCTGAGGCGTCTCGCTTTTCTCTGCGAAAAGGTGTCTGGACCAAGCTGTTATCTCCGATCCGGGCTTGGCAGCGTGGGCATGGTCTCCTTCAACCTGACCATGAGCTGCCGGATGATGAGGTGGGCTACCAAACACACCCTCTCTGGATTCTGCTTGCGAGATGCATTCAGTACAAGACCGATTGGAGGTGTGAAGTCCGTCGCAAAACCCATATTAACATCCTGGAGCTTCGAGCGCACCTAAAGCAGGAACGTCGGCTCGCCTCGAAGTACAAGAGTGTTAGGGCATTGCACGGCATTGACTCACAGGTTTGCTTGGGGGCGGTCATCAAAGGCCGCTCTGCTTCTTCATCCTTGAATGCGGAGATGAAGAGATCGGTTGCTCCTGCTATTGGCTCTGACATCTATGGTATGTATATGTATTTTCCCTCGTCCTGGAATCCTGCTGATGGACCCACAAGGGATGCTGACACACCGGATGTATCTGCCCCACTCCCGGAATGGTGGAATGATGTGATCGAACAGCGGTTTGATTCTTTTGATGCGTGGCTTGAGGATCATGGTGCTCACAGTTTTCTTGCTGGCATTGATTTTTCCGAATTGTACAGTTGCGATGCGGTTGACTTAAGACCCAACAGTGTGATACGACGCAAGCGTGGCAACAGATTGCGGGCTCGTGCGAGAAGGGTGAATGCTGAAGAGGATGCCGATGGTGTGTGCCTCGATCACCAGGAGATGACTGAAGTTGAGATGCTGCTGCGGACGTTCAAGAAGAGCCAGTTCTTTTACACCGGCAATTGTCCTGACTTTTCACGTCCTGGTGGGCTTGATCTCTTCAGCGGAAGGTGCGGCGTCGCCAAAGCTATGATTGAGCTGGGCTGCCCGTGGGTGCTGACATTCGACTACGCGAGGTCTGCTAATGAGGACTTGCTGCAATGTGAGCTTCGTTCAAAGATTGAGAAGTTGATTTCCTTAGGTGCCTTCCTCACCCTTGGTGCAGCTCCTATTTGTTCGAGCTTCAGCGTTGCAATCACACCGCCGGTGCGAAGCCACCAGTACCCTCGTGGAATCCCGGGGCTACGTCACTTGATGTCAGAGGGTCAAAGAGGGCAACAGCCATTCAGACTGGATGCGACACCTTGTGAGCCTTGTTGAATCTGTCGGTATGACTTGGTGGGTCGAAAACCCAGATTTGTCATGGTGGTGGCGTCAGAGATCTTGGCGACAGTTCAGGAACTCACATGGGCCAAAGCTGTTCCGTCTGTGTTTCTGCCGGTTTGGAACGAAGTGGCGAAAAGCCACTAGAATTGCAACCAACGGGCCTTTGAGTGGAGTGACTATGTGGTGCCAGTGCACCAGACCCCACCTGCAGTTGCGTGGCATGTGTGCAGCAAAGAGGATCCCGTGGACGCTTGTAGCTCAGCCCTACCCGCGAGGCCTTTGCAGGATGTTGGCAGCATCTCTTTGCACTTCAGCTGGATGGGTCGGGAAGAGCAAGTTGAACGTTGCTCGCTGCAGCCGATGTGACACACTGCGTGTTGGCGAGGCCCAAAACCCCGGGCCACGTGGACGGAAGCAACAGCATGCCTTTTCCCTTGAGGAGGTGCAGACCTTGAGCGCGGCCACTCTTGCAATCCAAGCTCGCGAATTGGGAGCCTTCTTCAGCTGGTGCCGCCTGCGCTCTGGGAACACAAACTTTGAGAGTCTTTTCCACCTGGTTCCTGCTTTTTTGCCAACCTGTCTCCGAGCATATGGTGATTACAGCTTCCAGCGTGGTGGCTCCTTGTTTAATTTTAGGCACCTGCTGTTGGCAGCGCAGAGGTGGTGTTCGGCTTCACGCCCTTGTATGCAATCTGCTTGGGAGCTGGTTGAACGATGGGAGGTGCAATATCCAGTGACGCATCGCGCTCCTGTTCCGGAGGTCCTGGTAAAGGCTATGTGCTGCCTAGCCTGGCAGCGAAAGTGGTTTTCCTGGGTTGGTATTACACTGATTGCATTTTATGGCGCTGGCCGACTTGGTGAAGTGATTTCCTGCCTTAGACAGGATCTGGTCCTCCCCTGCGACCTCTGTGATTTGTCTGGTGCAGTTTTCCTTCGACTGCGAAGGTTTAAAAGCCTACACCGCCAACCTGCAAAAGTGCAACATATGAAGATTAGTGACCAGGTTGCTGTGAAGCTTTTGACCATTATCTTCAACAAGCTCCCTATGGATGACCGGCTTTTCCCGGCCTCTCATTATCAGTACCGAATGCGCTGGAACCTACTTTTGGCCGATTTGGGCATTCCTGCTGAGCGTAAGCTGACGCCAGGCGGATTGAGAGGAGGAAGCGCCGTTTTCCATTACAGAGCTGGCAAACCCGTTGCTGATTTGCTTTGGCTGATGAGGCTTCGGTCGCAGACAACACTTGAAAGCTATTTGCAGGAAGTCGCTGCCTTGAATATACTTGGGTCTTTGTCTTCTGATTCGCGTTCCTCGATCATGGCTTTTGCTGCTACCTTCCCCTTGCTGGTTTTTGCTGTATTTCCAGGGTCTTGACAAACGCAACGCCTTTGTCTGCACTCGTCCTTCGTGACCTGGACCGTGGCTCCTAAAGTTGGAAGGGAACTTTTCCTTGCATGGTTGGCTGGTCAATCCTTTGATGACTGCAGTGATTTTCTTTTGGTGATGCCACATCTCTGGTGCTGGCTTGGGATTCACTATTTTCACTGCGGTGCTCCTGATTGACTTTCCTCGACCTGTGTGGTCGGTGTGCCCAAATCCTGACTTGGAGCGATGGAGAAAATGCGGTGATCGCTCAGCTATTTTTATGTTGCCACCTGCAATGGAGTTGTAAACATGGGGACAATGTTTCCAATGCAATGGGTGGTAGAATCTCGGCCCCACCCAGCCCGCCCGGGGCAAGCCCCCCGGAACTTTTCCTTGCATGGTTGGCTGGTCAATCCTTTGATGACTGCAGTGATTTTCTTTTGGTGATGCCACATCTCTGGTGCTGGCTTGGGATTCACTATTTTCACTGCGGTGCTCCTGATTGACTTTCCTCGACCTGTGTGGTCGGTGTGCCCAAATCCTGACTTGGAGCGATGGAGAAAATGCGGTGATCGCTCAGCTATTTTTATGTTGCCACCTGCAATGGAGTTGTAAACATATACATATATGCATAATATAAATATATTATTTTAGAAAATAATTTAGACACATATAAATACATGTTAAGTTGCGCTCTGCAGGATGAGTTGAAGCGCTTCGTGCGATTCTGGTCTTCCAAGAGCGGCGACAACCAAACCAGCCTTGACGAGTACATCGGCCGGATGAAGGCCGCAGAGAGTGAGTGAGAGAGCGGGAGGGAGCGAGAGGGACTCGGAGAGTGAGAGAGGGAGACGGAGGAACTGGACGGAAGATGTTGAGAAGTGGCGTTTGTGCATTGCCACTTCGGTGTTTGACATTTGCCAGCGTATGAATCTGGGACTCGTCCCGTGTGAGTTTTATCGGTTTTGTCTCAATCGGAAGTTGCAAAGCCGGCAGGAGGGCCAGGACAAGATCTACTTTGTGACCGGCGAGGGCCGCCGCGCAGCAGAGATTGCGCCGGCGATGGAGAAGATGCGCCTGAAGGAGACCACGTGAAGCAAACGCGGGGTGAGTGCCACCGGTGGGCCGGACGGACCAGGCTGAGTGGAGAGGTTGCGCGTAGATTTTCAGGACTATGAGGTGCTCTACATGGTGGACCCTCTTGACGAGATTTGCAGTCAGAGTATCGTTGACTACGAGGAGCTTTGGGCAGTCCGGGTGTTGCAAATGTCTGACGCGATCCCAAGACGTACACGAGCCAAGGGTGAAGAAGCCCGTCTCTATACTCCGTAGATTCCCGTTTGGAGTTTCCACTTTGGGCCCTCGAAGCGATCCTAAGCGCCGATGGACCCCGTTTCAAGCGACCCTAGTGAGTGGACCCTGATTCAAACGGCTCTACCCGTGGTTGTCCAGGGCAAGAAGCTCGTGGACATCAACAAGGCTGGCTTGGACCTGGAGAAGAGCAGCTCGGCGGTTTTTTGGACGCCGACTGGGGCAGTTCCGAGGCAGGCAGTGCTCTCTTTTTCCTGCATCTTAGGCGAAGAGGAGAAGAAGGCAGGCATGTTGCTTGCTCGGCGTTCCTTTTGCGTTGCCGCCCGAGCTTGCGGAATTTTGGCATGTCTTGCCCTGCTGCAACGACGCAGGAGCTGGAGGAGACCACGAAGGACTCAGAAAGCCAAAGGATCATTGAAACCTGCTGAGGGTGCTATTGTTGGACAGCCGCCTGGGCAGGTATCCTGCCCTCATTGTTCACATAGATTGCATGGGCAGGGACACTTGGGAGGGTAGGGGAGGGTTCAGTTCGGCTGAGCGCGTTTCCCGGCTTACCATCCTGATGTTGTGCCCCTTTCCTCCTTCGAGCCGTGCGTGGAACAACCGCCACTCAGAGCCAAGATGCCGCAGGAGTATGAGACTCTGGCGACGTGGCTCAAGAAGCAGCTTGGTGACCTGGCCAAGAAGCAGTGCTTCACAGTTTCACCTGGTGGCCGGCTTGCTGAGAATGTAGGCTTCGCATTTTGTTTGCCTTCTCATTGGAACGAATTGGATGCAAAGCCGGTTGCAAAGGATGGAAACTGGAAACCCCTAGGCCTCACTTACGAGCCGGCCTGGTCTTGGGACTTTTCCCCATTTTCAGTTTTCCCTTCCTCAAGAATTGGTTGTATTTTCCCCTTCCGGTTTCAAAAGAACTATCGCCGCTGGAAATGTGATTTGGTGCCTCTCTCTCTCTCTCTCTCCCCGCCTCCCTCTCGCTCTCTCTCTATTCGCCCGCGCGCCCAGGCGAGCGTGTGCAGAAGGTGCAGATCTCCGACCGCCTGGTGGATTCCCCTGCCACCTTGGTGCAGGGCGCCGCTTGCAGAGGGCAATGCCGATGTGGGGGCTCGGGGGTTGGAAAAGGGCGGGGGGATGCGGGTGGGGGGTTTGGTTATTTTGGCAGGTAGGTATAATTGTATACATTGAATTGAATCCAGTGAATGCTGTTATTTGTTGGCACTGCTTTTCGTTTGCGGTTGGATGAAAGACACGGCCATGAACAGAGTGCATGGCACGCTGGTGGGGAGGGTTTGGGACTATCGAGGTGGTCACCTTCCCAGGAGCTGGGATTTCTTTGCAATGCCACCGCCATGACCGCACTGAATAGCCTTTCTGCTCGTGTGTTCATTCGTTTGTAGGTTTATTAGCCCAGTTCATCCATTTGTCCATCCCTCCCTCCCTCCCTCCCTCCCTCCCTCCCTCCCTTCCTTCCTTCCTTCCTTCCTTCCTTCCTTCCTTCCTTCCTTCCTTCCTTCCTTCCTTCCTTCCTTCCTTCCTTCCTTCCTTCCTTCCTTCCTTCCTTCCTTCCTTCCTTCCTTCCTTCCTTCCTTCCTTTCCTCACTCCTTCGCTGTTTGTTTGTTTCGTCCATGCATCCATCGATCCGTCTGTCCGTCCGTCCAGTCCAGCCGTCCAGCCGCCCATCCATTCATCCACCATCCATCCATCCAGCCGTCCGTCCGTCCATTCATCCGTCCGTCTGTCCGTCCATCCATCCATCCATCCATCCATCCATCCATCCATCCATCCATCCATGCATCCATGCATCCATGCATCCATGCATCCATGCATCCATGCATCCATGCATCCATCCATGCATCCATGCATCCATGCATCCATGCATCTATGCATCCATGCATCCATGCATCCATCATCCATGCATCCATGCATCCATGCATCCATACATCCATACATCTGTTTGTCCATTGCTACTACTTCTTGGGTTTACCTGCGCGCAAACTTGCCCATGTCAACGTACATGTACACCGCGCAGCAAGCGGCAAGTGTGAACCAAAGGAGTGGGGCATGTCCCCCATGATGCAGCGCTACATGAAGTCCCAGACCACCTCTAGCGCCTCCGATAGCGCTTTCGCCATCGGCTCCCGAAACCAGGCAAGTGGAAGCGGGGTGCGGGGTGTGTGCTTCGGCGCTTACCGAGTGACTCCTGCTGCAATCAAGAGGTCCACAGCCACGAACTACCAACAAAGGTCACTTGCAAACATTTACGCCAGTTGTATTGATGCCACTGGAGATTTTCAACTGCTGCTCTCAAGAAGGCATGGGCTGGCAAGCACGGGGCTTGCTTTGGTACGAGGCGTCAGGGGTCCCTGCATGCGAGCATGCAGGCCATCCTGGAGATCAACCCGTCGCACGGCGTTGTCAAGGCTAGAAGCTCGCCCCACCTTGGGCGAGCGGGAGTCGGGAGTCCCGTGAGCAACTCTCGCGCTGAGAACCTGCTGAGAGGATGGATGTTGTTGGCTGTGACGATTTGTTTTAGGCGCATGCGTTGTTCAACAGGCTCTCAGCAACTGTTGTGGCAATGCGCTTGGAAGTACACGTTCACGAAAGGTACACTTTTCTACTTCTGCGTGAGCCACGGGTCAATGCCGCGAACAGCTCCTTTTTGCCAGGCGTTGAGGAGCAACATGGAGACTCAACCGGACTCTGTGGAAACCGAAGACATGGCTGCTGGGATGCAATGGTGCGCGAAATCGAAACGAGAGCAGCTCAAGCAGACCGAGTCGGCGATTGCGCCTAGGTCATGATGCTTTACGAGACCGCTGCCTTGATCGGCGGCTACACCATTGAGGACCCAGGCCAAATCGAACGAGAGCCGAGAGTGTCAGGAACCGGCAGTTGGCACATCAATCCACAGGTGGGCATGCCATTTGGGGAATGGGCATCTTTGTCAGGATCCCTAGTTTGGGATCCCTAGTTTGGGATCCCCCCGGCCCATATTCTCGCCATTGCTGGTGCTCAGGGGGAGGGAATCAACCTGACAGTCCCCAATCAGTCCCCTAAAAGGAAACCACACGTTGGAGGGAAAAGGAGGGAATCAACCTGACAGCCCCCTTAAAGGAAACCACAAGTTGCATGAAACCCCTCGTGTTCCATGTCTCGTTCCCAGTTCCGTGTAGAGGTGACTTCGCCAAGCGAGTCACGAAGCTCATGGAGCTCCAGGTGGCCTCTGCAGGAGCCGACACCGAGACAAACAAATCCGCGGGGTCCAAGGGGCTCTCGCAAGGAACGTGGAACCTCACGTTTCCGGAAATCCGTTTTCCTTTTTAAAGGGTCCCTCCAAGCAGAGGAGTTCCCTCCCACCAGTTAACATGGAACCTCATGTGAGCAGCTTTTTTTTCTCAGATGGTGGATTTTAACATCCCCTTTGCTTTGCTGTTTTTTGAGGCGAAGAACTAGTAAAGGTAACCTTTGACTTTCCCTAAAAAATCTACGGGATCCAAGCGAAGGGGTTACCCTCCCACCAAATCACATGGAACCTCGCGTTTCCAGGGGCGTTTGGGGTTCCTGGACGCCCATTTTCCTGTTTAAAGCGGCCCGTTAAACGTCAGGTTCCGTGTTAATGGGCGGGTGGGCGACGGAATTCCGGAGGACCCGCCGGCACCCACGATGCGGAGGTCATCGAGTGATTTGCCGTCTCCCCTTGGGAGCGAGGGCGTGAACGGCGCAAAGAACAAGGAACAACAACTTGAGCGCCCAAGTGTTGTTGTCAAGCCTAGTCGCTGTGTTTCCCAATGAGATACCACAAACCCAAGTAGGTGTCATCGGAAACAAAAGGCGCGCGGGAAATGAAGGATCGGTCACCACACGCAACGTCTCTTCGGAACCTACAAGGTATGCGACCATCAATTTGAGAGGATGCACATGGCGCTGCAGAGCATTCTGGCATATTCTGGCAGATTTTCGTTGAGAAACAGAGGGAAGCATTGACAGATTCACATGGCTCAGACATACAAATCTATGTGAATGTGGCTCGAGGCTGCCTCCTCACCCCGGGCATGCGCAGCTTGTTGGGCCCCAGCCGGGTGCCCCAAAAAGAGATGCGAGTGGGACCTAAAGGGGTATCTGTCAAAATTAAGCCGCCAGGAATTGGACCACAGGTTTTAGTCATTTCAGTCCATGTTTCCAGAAACCGCGGGCCGCGCCATTTTGGGTACATATTAGAAGACCCACAGCCAAATGGACATTCTGCAGCGCAAAAATGGACTGCAGAACGCTCAATGCGCAAGTCCCAGGTAGCAGCGGCTGAGTACAATTGGTAGGCACTTAGGCACCATTCCCCCTCTCCCAGTGCTTCCGGTTACCTGTATAGTTGGTAACCAGCTTGGTTACCTACTATATTGGTAACTGGTCGGTAGTTCCCAGAACCACAGAAAAGGCTATATAATAGAGGGCAGAACCGTGAAACAGAGTGCCGGAACCGTGAGATAGGGGGTGGAACCGTGAATTGGGAGGCCGGAACCGTGAAAACCGTGAGATTGGAATCTGGTTCCTACTTTTTTGGGAACCGAGCTTGGTTCCAGAAAAAATGGTAACCAGGGGCCAGTTACCTGCTATACAGGTAACCAGGAAGCGCTGGGTCTGACACTTGGCTCAGGTGAGCGCAGGGTACAGGCAATGCCCGCCCGTGCCCCAGCAATCCACATATCCGACTGAACAGCACATTGGTAAACTGAAGTGGGGGAAGGGGTGGATATGATTTTTGACGGTTGAAAGGACGCCAAGACGTTCAGATGGCCCTGAATTTCAAAGGGCATTCAGGTATTTACGTGGTGTGTGGAGACCTGCGCTCGGGCGCAGCCTCTCCGGCTCCATGGGATCGCAAGGGGCCTCGCCGTTTGAGGCGTCTAGTTCGAAGTGAGCCATGGCTGCCTGTTGGCGGATCGGGAAAGGGTCGCTGGAGGCCACGGACACCATGGATCACAAGGACGGATTGCCTAGGTGTCCTTTTTGGCGGTTTTGGTCGAAAAATAGATGGGTTTCGATTCCTGGTTTGCGTGGTGGTTTTTGCTCACCTACCAGGGAAACCCATCTATTTCCCCGAAAAGGACACCTATGATCCCATGGTGCGGCTTTGTGCCGCTTCAAATTTGGTAGGAGCCATTAGAGGCAGACTTCCCCTATTCCGAGATCACCACCCGCCAGCAAACAGAAGACTCGAACATGAGCTTGGCACTCAGCGCATCATGTTTTGCTCGGACGGCAGCTTTGCCCATGCTTACAAACTGGGTGTGGGTCAAAATTAAACCACCAGGAGACCGCAGGTATTAGTCTACCTTTCCATTTGCCAGGGTTCCATGTTGGGCAGTTGTTTTTGACCCACAGCCAACTGAAAAAAGGAAGGCTTCTACACATTACACCTGCTTTGGGGTTTGTCGTCCTTTGCCCCGAGCACGACGCGCTTTGCGATGCGTTTCGGTGAGGCATTGACGACACCTGGAGCCCCGGCAGCTTTCACTCTTATGTTGCCAGCCCGGTGCCTCGAGCCAAAAGCACTCTGTGTGAAGCTTGCGCATCATGAATTCGTTCGGTGCATGCGGGGCAGGAGGGTAACAATGACAAGATACTTGGAGCGGCGACCAAACATGTAGGGGGGCCCCTTTTTCCGCGAACTTCGGCGTTGCTTCGGCCACGTGCCGACTTAGAACCCTATTTGCGAGTCGCGGGGGTTCGGCTTCCCAGGTTTTTTTTTAGGGTTTCGGCGGGTTCCGCTGCGCGAGGCTGCACGGATGCAAGACGGGAAGCGACAGGAGCTGGATGTTTTCCTCAGCCTGGTGTCAAGCATCGACTGGCAGGGCGTCTTGGTTTCAAAGAGCAGTCTAGCCAAAATCCAAGCTTGAAAATCTGCACATCTTGGGGGGGCACCTACAATGTACATCTTAGAGGGATAGAAAAGTGAACGAAGCCAAAAGAGGTGTGCTACCTGCTGCCATGTCCTATGCCTTAGCCCCGCAGGGATGGCTTGGCTTGGTGGCAAATCGCTGGCCCGCGCTAGCATGGGACCCTCAGAGAATTCATGCCCGAATATTCCTCCAAGCTATGCCAAACAGCGTCTTTCCACAAATGTTCTCGCATTTGTGGTGTAAATTGGCCCAGGGGCCTGAAGCGGATGGAACTCTGTCAGGTGTCTCGATGGAGTCGCGCCTGGAGAAGTTGCGGCTTGCGGCTTACTGCACATGCGCCGCGAAGGAAGAATGGGAGAGCCGGCCGCGTGGCCACCCCCATCACCATGCATCGCAAGAAACGGTGGCAGGCCACCGGCATCCCCGATCTCGATGAAGGGATACGTACGGTTGGCAAACCGGATGCCGCTGATGCCGCTGTACTGTTTTGGCCAAAAAACAAGGCCTTCGGGCCTTCAACCCCTCTCGGCAGTTTGACCCCGGAGAGGGGCAGTTTCCGAGTTTCTAGGCTGGGGCAGAATCCGGGCAATCGCACACCACGTGATTGCTGCTTTGGCAGCAGTCGTTGACATCGCACTTTGGCATATCATTGGCTATTTTGTGCTTGATCAGCCACAGAGGAGCTTCTTGGAACTTTGGCGTTTCTGTGATCAATCCTTGGACGTTTGTTTCAGGCATGTTCAACGGAAAGCGATGCTTTGTTGCTGGGGCCCTTTTTGTTTCACCTGCTGAGTGGGCTAGCTTTGTGTCCAGAGCCACAGGCTGGACATGCCAGCGTTAGCCCGAAGACCAAAAGTTTCATTGACCCCGCTACGTTTCTGTGGCCAGCCGAATTGGCACACTCGAGGGAAGCAACGAACACGCTGCTTGACCTTGAGCTCGGACAATTGCCCGACCGGGGGCAATTTGATTTTGTCGCATTGTAGTGATTAGGTTGCGATGCGCCCTTTCACACACCGGCGGAGAGCTGTGAGGCTCCCCCCAGTCTCCGCGGCAAAGCAAACGGCAGATTGCCAACCCGCTAAGGCCGCTTGAAGTTAAAGAGTGCGAGACCTCCAGTCAAAATTCCTGACCTCTCCACCGCTCTCCATGGATGCCACATTGGAGTCGTTTGGCGGGGCTGGAAGGGGCAATCAATTGGACCACCAAGCAAGAGCCATGCGGAGTGCAGCTCGGGTTGCAGGCGCTTATGCTCAAGGACACGCTCATTGAGCATGCAGTGTCCGGTGATCCATCTCCTCACCCCTCGATAACAGAGCCGCAAAAGGTGAGACAGGGTAAGTCTCATACGTAGATGCATAATATATATATATATATGTGTGTGTGTATGATATATAACTATATGTATATATACATAGATTTCTTTCGGGCTCGCTTGACACCATCGTATGGGAAAGTTGTCACCCAAAACCCCCACTCACTTGGGTTGGTGCTATCTATCCTATTTGGTGCGAAGTGCGCCTGCAAGACTTTGGGAAGCGTGCCATGGACTTCTTTGATGTCCTGCGGAAAGGCGTGCTGCTCGTGAGTTGCTGTTCGGCCGTTTGATTGGAGTATGGTAGCTCGGTGCATGAGTTCGGCCGCATCATTAGGCAATCATCGCAGGGAGGTAGGTTTTGTGAGGTAGGTTTTGTGAGGGAGCCTTTGTGTTGAGCTTCACTCGGCTTTCGCCTGCTTTTTGGAAGCCAAGCCACGCGGCCGCTGGCGTCAGGCTGCACCTTCGGCGGCGCCAAGAAGTCCAAGGCGGTGGCCTTTGGCAAGCGCCGAGACGAGGAAGGGGCGAGGCCGGGCGTCGGTGCGTTGCACTCGGAAGGCGCGTTTTTGAACAAAATGCCGGAGGACATGTGTTTTGTTTTTTCAGGTCCCCCTGAATTGGGTTGGGATTTTTTGAACCCTGGTTGGTGTGGAAAGTGAATGAAAAACTATGACTAACCACCAAACCACCAATCCAAACCACCAACCACCAATCCAAACCGCTGATTTTCCGACTTGCTGGAGCTAGCGCCACTCTCGGAGCCAGAGCTGTCCTGCCCGAGGCCGCCTGCGCTGGACTTCTTTGGACTGGGCCAGGACCGGGCGCTTGAGGCCGTGTAGATGGCCCTAGCTTTGCTCGGGAGATTCTTGGGCCCACTTCACTTTGCATTTTGCCAAGGGATGTTAGGACTGTAGCCTTTTGCCAACAAATTTTAGGTTTTCCGTATTCAGCCACTAAAGGTTAAACTTGTAGCAGCAGAAAGCAACCGAGCCTTCAGTTGGCAATCCTTCCCAGACGAGTTTGCACCATGCCACTTCCCCTTTGCAGGACGAAGGTGCCAGTGAACCACAAAGACCGGCGGCGGCTTCTGCCCAGCAACAGCGCAAAGACCGGCCAGGCTCTCCCACTCATGCCGCACGGCGTCAGCTGCATTTGCGCAGCTGCGGGGCATGGTGGGCATGTTCACGTTGCAAACAATTGGGAGGGAACACCCTGAAATTTCCAGCGAGAGGTAACCACTCTCCCATTCGCGCAGGGAGCCGAATCATTGAATCAGCGGTATCGTGCTTGTGCTCGCCAGCTTGTTCTTTTGAGCTTCCCAACGTCTGTGGCAAAAACATCTATCAATTCCCTAGCCACGCTGATGCCCAAACGTGGGCATTTTCTCAAGAGGCTGACCTACGCAGCCTGCCCCCATCGAGAAAGCTTGCAGGAGCACACTGGCGCGAGCACACTTGCGCGAGCAAACTTGCACGAGGGATGAGTTATTCATGGTAGTTAGCTTGTGCCGGGCACCAAATGTAGCAAAAGTCCACAGTTCTTGCACATCGACCACGCCGATCCGCGCAGATTTGCGAAAAGGGCCTCAAAAGGCAGGAACAGTCTTGAGTCGTTGCGCATCGACCACTCGCGCGCCGTACACTTTTGCGAATCGGCCACGTCCATCCCGAGAACCTAAAGTCATCGTCCTCAGTTTTGCACATCGACAACTTTCACATCGGCGACATTCGTCGTACAGCGCGGGTTCAGTCCCGCGCCGCCATAGAAGCTAGGCTTCAAGGTACGAAGTGCAAGGTGCACGTCGCGAGGCGCAAGGTGCAAGGAGCAAGGCGCACGGTGCAAGGTTGAAAAGCGCAAGGCCGCGCTTTGTATTTGCATGCGCTTGAATGTCAGACAGCTCCATTGCCTGTGTGCCTGCCAAAACATGCGAACCGGCAGATGCTTTCGGGCCACCCGTCTTCTGGTTAATGACCAGCGGCAAGCAGAAATAGAGCATATTTGTCAAGCAGTCACAAGCATTGCCAAAATGGCATTCCCCGCTTTGCATCGGCAATAAGACTGGTGGTTGATGGACGCCACTGTATTTCGGACATCTTGACTTCATTGCAGATTGAGTCAGTGCGATGTCTGCTTGCAGCACAAGTGGCTGAATCCCTGAGCCGCCACTCGCCAGGCACGAAGAGCACAAGCGCGAAGGGCGCGAGCCAGGGGGTTGACAGCCAGCTTCAGCGGGAAGCCGTGGCGGCACTACGGCGTCGAAATCGCATCCATGTGAGTCCCGGCACTCCCGATCCGGTGGAGGCCTTCGAGCTCATGTCTCAGCGCAACCTGGCTAAGCGGCTTGAGCGGCTTTTGGATTAGATGTAGTCCCGGAGCCCGGAGCCCTTTTCCAGGCGCTCGCCTTTTTGCTGACCGTAATGCTCATGCCATCAAGTCATTTGAGATGCGCCATTAAGTATGGCCCTATTTGGCTTGCGAGAATGCCTGAGAATTGCCATCCTGAAATGCTTACATGAGCCCAGCAACAACTCCACCCATTATAGGAAGAAACCATGCCATCTTCCGAGGGCGGGGGGGAAGCGTGATCTGAGGCGGGGTTCCTGAGTGGCTGGTTCGCAACTTGAAGACTCTGGGGTTCGCAAAGCCCACGCCTGTTCAAATGCAATGCTTTCCCGCCATCATCTCTGGCAGTCACGTGTTGGCTTCTGCGCCGACGGGGAGTGGTAAGACCATTGCGTTCCTCGGGCCCATCTTGGCGCGCCTGGGCAAGCCAGGGAAGGAATTTGCCCGGGCCTTGATCATCGACCCTTCCCGGGAGCTTGCCAAGCAGACCCTGGATGAGTTCACGAAGCTGACCGCGGGCCGGAAGTGGAGCGGGCGTCTGGTGGACAGGATGTCCGGCAACAAGGCAGGCAGCATCAAGCGCCTCGATGTCGCGGTAGCCACACCTCTGAGACTGGTGTCGATGCTGAAGGAGAATCGGATTTCATTGGATGCCACAAAGCATTTGGTGTTTGATGAAGCTGATAAGCTGCTAGACCTTGGCTTTGCGCCTCAAATCGACGAGATTCTGTCCTTTTGCCCCAAAGACCAGGGCAACTTGATGCAAACCATGATGTTTTCCGCCACTCTGCCGCCTGTGGTGGTTGAGTTGGCCGGCTCTATTCTGACCTCACCCTTGCGCATCAGCATTGGAGACGTGAATGCGGCCGCGCCTGATGTGGAACAGCCGCTTGCCTGCCACGAGACACGATCTCACTCATTCAGAGAAATCAGCACCGGAAGTGCCCGCGACGGTTGCGATTTTGGGTGTCAGCGCATTACTGTAATGGTAGGTTATGACTTTGAAATGCTGCTTGTATTTCATGTGTGTGTCCTTTCGGCGTGAAGGCAAGCTTCGCATCTACTTTCACTTAGCTTCAAGCCCAGCCGCCCCAGGAAGCTGCTTTTCATCACCAGTGAGGATGGCAAGCTCTTCAGCCTCAGGCAGGGGGAAGTGCGCTGCTGGCGAGTTGAAAGCCAGCCTGGCACAAGAATATTTCCATCCACAGCGGAATTTGTTCCGCTGTCCTTATCCTCATCATGTGGATGGCTCACGGCTTGTTTGACCAAAGTAGCATGGCTCCTTCGACCTTTGCATTGCAATGATTATGTCTTCACAGGTTCCTTTCAATGCCCAGTCCTGCTTGCTTCAGCTCCCTTGTGCAAACCGCTCATAGAGAGGTTCTGGCGCACTTGAGCTCCAACGTGTCACGCCTGGCACGCAGCTTGCTTTGGTGCATTTTGCTTGGATGTTAGGACTTTAACTTCTTGCCAACTAATGGGTTTTCATTAAACCACTGAAAGTTTAAACCACTAGACTAAAAATTGAACTTTTAGCAGGGGAGCAGAAAGCAACCGAGGTAATCAAGTGATTTCACGTTCCTAACGGCGAAGTTTGCCGCAGGCAGCTGCTGCAGGATGGAGAGATCAAGCCCCCAGCCCTGGTCTTCGTGCAGTCCAAGGACTTCAGACCACTTTTGTCGATTTTTGGGGGCAGGAACCCTACAAGTCTTGGGTTCCTTTGGGGAACCTTTCTTCGCATGAGCGCTCTCAGCTTGGGAAGTAGGCTCCCTGTCCATGTGCCAGCATCGGCCCCCCTGAGCCCTGACTTCATCCTGAAACAGTAGTTCACAGGCAGGTTTCAAGCCAAGAGCGGGGGACGTAGGTAGGCGCTTTGTCGGATTCATTGCGTGCCTGATGGCCAGGAGCGGGCCAAAGAGCTCTTTGGAGAGCTGATCTACGATGGCATTTTTGTGGATGCCATACATGCCGACCGCACGAGGCAGCAGCGGGACAACACGGTTCGAGGCTCAGCCAACAGGCTTGCGGTATTTTTCAGCTTGTGAAGAAGACGACTTCATCTATCTTATGGCAACTCCAGTAAGCTCTTGGGGTTATTCAATGGGGCCTCCCCATTTTGGGGACCTCCAACGGGCCTTCGAAAAGTTTGGGTTTTGGGGACCCCTGTTGACTCCGGGCCTTTGACATGGGCGAGGTGTTTGCGTCGGTGTCCCCCTTTTTCGCTGTGGGTCATATCACCCAGGAAACCCCTGATAACATCAACATAGGTGGTCCATGGGTGTTCCGCCCAAAAATGGGATCGGCATAGGTTATGACCCAAGCATGGTTGTTTTTGGGAAACAGTTTACATTTTTGCTCATTGTGGTTTTAGTGGTAAATCCAACCACTTAACTGCTAAAATTTAAATGGTTCCCCGCTTCCAACGTCAACCAAGCAAGGTGAAGGCCTTCCGCGCCGGGAAGCTCTGGGTGTTGGTGTGCACCGATCTCATGGCCCGCGGCGTGGACTTCAAAGGCGGGGAATGGGGTTTTGAAGCTTGCGCGGAGGGGGGAGAGGGGGGAACAACGGCGCAAAGATGTGTTTGCCTCTTCTTGTTTATATAATGATTTTTTCATCATCTTGTGGCTGGGCAACATTGGCAGCCGAAATTATTTGAATCTAGCTACGCGAGTGTCGTCATTTGGTGTGAGCATTGCGTGGCAGGCGTGGAAACAGCGACCTGGCTGCTTCAGAAGGAAAGCGAGTTGTGCAGAGTCTGCATCCTGCTCGCTCCTGCTTACCTGGAATCGGTTCGTGACCGGGCACATGGAAGACCTTGTAGCTAACGGCACTCGTTGTCACTGATTTCTTGAGCAGGCAGATGCCGTAGTTACTGCACAGGTGATCAACTACGACTTTCCGCAGTCGTCTGCGACATACATCCACCGGCACCTTGGCCGCGCATCTCACGCGGGGCCCACGCGCAGCGCCTGTCGCGAGGATTGGGCGAACTGGTCGAGCTGGACGGAAGCTTGGCGAACGCCAGGCCTTGGGCTTGGGGCCTCCAGAAGTCCAGGATGTTAGTTGGGGAAGCGAAGTGTTTTGACAACAGCCGCAAACCAAGCCTTTCTTGGAATGCTGAACAGATCGTAAGCTTCAAGATCGATGTGTAAATGAACCAGATCCACAAGACGCACAACAGCTGCATTGCTGCATAGCAGCTTGCTTGCACGCATGCGACACCCCAGGAAAGGAAGAGCAATCACCATGTTCACCATTGATGACTTTGAGTCGCTGCGGAGCACCTGGACAGCACAGTGAGGGAGGGAGACTCATGACCATAGGTGTCTTTTTTGGCTGTTTTGGTTGAACAATAGATGGCGATTCCTGGTTTACCTGGTGGTTTAATCATCTACCTCAGGGCCATCTATCTCCCCTAAAAGGACACCTATGCTCATGACAGACCCCAAGATGTGCCCCTTGGATCCTCCAAAGTTGGCAACGTCCAGGCATCGTGGGGGTCATGCGGCAGTCGGGCTGCGAAGTGCCCGAGTGGATGCTGCGACTGAAGAAGAAGCCAAAGAAGGCAGGGGACGAAGCAAATCGGCTCAGCTCACCCAGCCAGTACTTTACATGTTTTTCCTTGGTGGCTCTCCCTTTTTACTAATTAGTTGGTGGTCCAAAAAGTCGACACTTTTTTGGCTTGTCACTGGCCAAGTGAGTCAAAAAGAGGGCGAAAATTAGGTCGTTGGACCAGCTCCTACTGAAAGAGCTGGGTTCTTGCGCCAATGGCAGGCAGACTGGGCCCCCAACTGCCAGCCTCCTTCATTCTTGGCAGGGGGGGTTGGTAAGAAAAGACTGACTTTGGTCAAAGGCAGGCAGGTTTGCGTCTTGCCTTCCAGCGAAAAGTTGCCTTTCATTGTGTTCAGAGGGCTGCTTGAACTTGGATTCTTACTTCTGTCTCGCATAGCGCCCCGCAATTCTACAGCTTCCCTTGCCGAGTTCTCACTTGTTCACAGCGACTGAATGTCAGAAGGTTTTGGACGCGAGGAAAGACGCTTAACTGACCAACTCAGTCTGACCAACTGTTTGTGCAAATGTTCACTCGTGGTGGGGTTGGCTGCAAGCAATCAGGGCCCATGTGGGCTGTGGTTTCATTTGACTTTCCTTCGAAGGGTTAAAGGGGGCCACACATTTGGCATGCATGGCAGCCAGCGTCGATGTGCTTTGTTTGCCCCACAACTTGCCATGAAGGTGCGACGAATAGCAGAGTGGAGACTCGCCAGCAAGCGCTTGTTTGGAATAGCGGGCATGTTTGGGCAAGCTTGCACGTGCCAGAGACAAGTCTAGAGTTGTTCTTGTCAACTGCCACTTTGGTTTCGGCTCCACGCCGTAGGCAAGGCATGTGCTGACAGCCCAGGAGACAGCCCAAAAGAAAGCGGATCAGCACGATCTCCGGCTATGACCTGCAAAAGAGCAACAAGAAAAGACAGAAGCTGAGCTTGCAAATATTTCTTGGTCTTGGTGAGAAGCGCTAAGCTCATTTGCAAAAGGCTGCGCCTGAGAATGACTGGTTTATTGTTGCAGAGGGGTCTCCCAGAGTCTTCCTGGCGACTGGAAGTGATGGGGAATGGCCAGGCGGCTGTGCAAGTTGCGAGTGTGTCATCGAGAGCCCGAATCGTGCTTGAGCCTTCGCACTGCTGCAACGTTTGTAGTAGCTTTCGCCCGTTCCCTCCAACTGGACTTCCTTTCCCTTGTGCGTTGGTTCTTTCGCGTTGCGAACTGCCTGAAAGCACTTGTTGCTAGACATTGCAATGACCCGTGGGTCAGCATTTCCGTTACATCGGTTTAAGCTCCGTTTAGCCTCTCAAGTTTTTGCGTTGTCCCTTCTTCTCCGGCGACTTTTTCGATGTTTCCGCTTTGTTGGTCGTCATCTCTCTCCATTCTTTCTACAGCCTGTGCAATTCACGCTAGATTGCACTCCTCCAGGGATTTGATGACAACTGATGCAGTCGAAACACTGAGGATGGTGGAGGCGAGGGTGCTCGCAGTTCGAGAGTGCTCATGTTTGTGCACACTGCGACTGCATTGAATGCCTTGGAGGCAACCAAGAAGAGGAAAGCTGCCGGAGAGAGCTGACAGCTGCAAATTCGAGATTGTCGGGTTTGCAGAAGGAGACCGGTCTTGGGTGAAAAGGTGATGTCCATTCACTCATTTGATCACCCACGGCCGGTAGCCGCACTGCCTTCAAACCAAGCGGCAGCGCAAAAGGAATGCGAGTGCACATACCTCGCATGACATTTGGCGAGATTTTGGTGGCACCCACTTGAAGGATGCAAGGACACCCCTACGGGAGCTGTTGAGTGGGTGGCTGCCCAGGCCGCACATCATACGTACAATGTTCTCCCCGGCTCCTGGCGAAGACTTCGCCACAGCGTCTTCCCTGAATTATTGCAATGTTGTCGTGGCGTTCTAAAAAAGATGCCTATGTAGTATTTCTTGACCCCTAAGTCTCGTCCAGCTGTGAGTCTATCTCTGGCTATGGCAGATGCTCAGGTGCAAATCGAGCTGCTGCCTCGTATGCCAGAGTACTGGAGAGAGCGCGTGCAAGCCACATTTGTGATGGCTGCGCATGTGATACTTACTTTGGAGTTAGACACATGAATGAGTGTGTCGGAGAAGTTCATTGACTTGGTGGGAGTAGACAGGGATGAAATTGAGCACTTGGGACCAGTTCTTTTCGCTGCAGACTTGTGGGACCAAGGAGGACCAGTTTAGGGCAACAATGCAAAAGAAACTGCCTTTGGGAGCGCATACTGGGGTCATTATTTGGACTGTTTCTGGGGGTTATGAAAATCAGAACATGTGGTTGTTTCCTTTAAACCCACCACTTCGGGTGACTTTGATCATGGTACAGTAATGTGGCCAGTTTCCTGGGGTCATCCATCATGCCAGATGTTATCAACAGGTGCCCTGGTCAGGTTTCGCTTCTCTTGCCCCACGTGCTCTGCGGCCACCACCTTCACAGCCCATGGCAAGGCGCGACTGCCGTGGCCTCGGACCGCGCGGACCGCGGAGCGGGACTCGGTGCCGGCTGGGGCTGACCCAGGCTCCGCTTCTGGCGGCCTGTGGACGTGCACCTCTCCATCCGTGGCCAGAGAGGAGCTTTCGGGGGACTGCCGGACCCATGCGAAATCCCAGGCCGTTCGTGAGAGTGCCACGCCAGCAGAGCCCAAGCAGCTATCTTGGGAACACCTTGCCAGCGACCCGCCTCGGAGAGCGGGGAAATATTTGGTTCGACGCGAGCATGACGCAGCCTAATGGCCAGTCGGGTTCCCGAATTCCGTTTGAAACAGCAGCGCTGAGTCACTGAGAGCTACCGTCCCCCATGCTTTCAACTTGGTTGGAGGTCACGAGTGCGTGTCGGACATGACCAAATCTGGCTGTGGGTCAAAACCAATGGTACCATGTTGGGGTAGGTGAATTCACCGCCTATTTTAGAACCTATTTTAGTGGGGAGTGGGATGTTCACTGGGGGCCAACCGGGAGTTTGACCCATGGCCATCTCCGGCCATGAAGTCTTCAGGAGGGGCTGCCTGTGCCCGGCTCATGCTTTGCCCCTCGCAGCTGTGCAGCAGCCCCGGGCTGTTGGGAGCCCAGCTAAGTGAAGGTGAGTCTTGGGGAGAATCCCAACCAGAAATGGCTGCGGAGATCCGGCCTTCATAGTTCTTTACATGGTGCTGGGTCGACGATTTTTAAGACCGGGTTTTGATTGTGACTCAACTGGGGAGAAGATCTGGACAACACTTTGATAAGCCGCCTAGCTGTGGCAAAGACTAAAGCCTGCGGTTTGCCCTAGCTCTTGAATTTTGAGCCACACCCACCTGACCAACTGAGCAACTGGGAGGTTTTTCGGGCTCTGAGGCTGACTCTGGAGCTCCGGTCGCTGATCCCAGGTGGTCCTGGCGTCCAGCACCCAGTGCACGCGCTTGTGGCTTGGTCTGCCCAGGTCTGATGGAAAAATCCACAGGATTAGGAGCATGTAAGGCTTCCCGGAGAGAAAAACAAAATGAGCCTTGATTTGCGGAAGGCTACAGCAAAGCACACTGTTGGGGTTCAAAACGAGGTAGGAGCGTCCCAAAACCAGGTACGGCCATGACATATAGATGGTTGGTCAATGAGTCCAAACGAGAGCAGGGTTGGAGAATGAGGTGGGAGCACCCCGATTATTTCAACCACGTAGCGAATAATTTCCCTCGCTCACATCGATGAAGTCTTGAGTAGGGTGGCTCAAAAACGGGTTTTTCCTTCTGCGTCCTTTGGACCCCAGGTGGCTGAACTGCTGGATTTCGAGACGGAAGAAGTGCGGTTTCGGCCTCATGGGGCCTCGTTTAGCTGCTTAGAGGTGGCCCCATAGACATGTCCCTTTTCTTCAGGCTGGGTCGCCGCGGGCCGGCGTTTTATGAGATGCCAGCAGCGGGCTAAGATTGACCACCTGGGCATCTGAGTTGATGCAGATGCCTACCAGAATTTAAGAGAAATCAAGAGAATCAAATGGCTGTGGGTCAAAACCAATGGTATTGTTTTGGGGCAGATGGACCACCACCCACTCTAGTCTATTGTAGTGGGGATTGCGATGTTCAAATGTGATCAGGTGCCACCTCCTGGTCTTTTTGTTTAGGTTCTGCAAGGTGCCAGCATGTTCCTGTGCTTTCGAAGGCTGGCGTGAGGCTCGCCGTGGACAAAGAAGGAGGTTGGCATGCACGAAAGGGAAGGATTGCTTTCTGAAGGTGTTGGCTCCATATGGCCATGGCTCCATTTTAGGGCGGATGAACACCCATGTGCCATCTATTTTGATGTTCACCAGGGGTTTCCAGGGTTTTGACCCACAGCCATATTTTCCTTGCCTGGTTTCCATTTTCAGTGGGAACACGGTACCCTCCAAAGGCACAAGCCCATATTTCTCACGCGTTTGCCCAAGTGAGCCTGCCAGGTCCTGCGTTACTGCTTGACGGAAGGCCTGGCATCGGAAGTCTACAATTCGTCACGCTCATTCTTGGCTTCCTCGACGGGCTCATCGGTTTCCTTTGATTCACCTTGTTTTCAGTTTGGGCTTTTTCGCAGCGGAAAAGCAGGCATAATGTTGACCCAGGATTAATAAACCCGTCCCAGTATTTGGGGGGTGTTCCCTCCAAAAGTGATGAATCCCCGCCAAAAGGGGACACCCCCCTATTAATCAAGTTAATTTATTCGGGGTTAACATTACAGCGGGCACATCCTGCCAGGCCGGAGGACGTGTCAGCGGCTGGCCGCCGACGCCGTCAGCTCTGCGTGGAGCTTGCGCCGGAGGAGGTGCTCACGGATGTGACGCTCGAGGTGCAGGCGGGTCCTTGATGGGGCGCCTTGAGGGGCGCAGGCGGGTGGAAACCAACATCTTGTGAAGGCTGAGGCATGTAGACATCCACCGGTTCTTGAGTGAAGGTGCAAAGAAATTGAAGTTGAGGCATCGCACATCATTCCCACCGCTGTCCCAAGCAAGAACCCCACAAAACCAGCCTTGAGGCTCTCTCGGGCGCGCGGCGCCTGCTTTGCATGCTGTGCTTGGCAGCCCTGGGTCCTTTGGGCGACTGTGCCAGGGCCTCGGCAGGGCCACAGCCTTGGCAGGGTTCGCAGTTGAACCTAAGCCCAGTCTCTAAGCATGTGCCATGTTTGACATAGGTTGTGATAACCTTGCACATGTCTTTTCGCTAGGTAGCAATTTGGTTGTGAGTGCATTGTCCAAACTGGGTTTGTCCTTTGGCCCCTAACCTGGCCCCTGGAGCTTGGGCCAGGTGGTGGCGTACCACCTGCACTTTGGGCCAAGGTGCTCCCGTGTCTGAAAGTGGGGAGTTGACCATGAAACTGGTGCATTCCTTCGGCTTCCGTTTCAAGGAATGCACCAACAGGAGACACATGCACTAGTGGCCACAGAGGGGAAAGAGACGGAGGGTTTCAGCTTGGTCCACATGAACCCCTCCCCCCCCCCAACCCGTATCGTCATCTTGGAGCGCCCATGGCCGCTGCAGCCTTCGTTGCCCTTTGCTTCCGGGCGCGGAAGGCGGACGGCGGAATGAAGCCAAAACCCCGCGCGCGCCAGGTGCAGCCTGGCCTTGGTCTGCGACTTTGAGCCCCGGCGCCACGGTGTACGGCTGCGCCCCGAGGCAGGCGCGGCGCGCCGTGCCGCCGGGTGGCTGGAGGGGCGGGGGCTTCCGAGCCTCGATATGAGGAGCGTGGCCGACGTTGGGAGGGTAGATCCTGCGGAATTCTCATGTTCTCAGACTTTGCTCGCAAGGCGGAACCGGGATATCAGAAGATCGATTCCCAATCCAAAGCTTTTTGCTTGCGGACAGGCCCAGATGGTGCTGAATGCACCTGCGCTCCAAGCACCGGGTAAAGAGCAGAAGGAGATGTCAGTGAAGGAGGAGCTGAAAGAGGAGCAGAGCCGCAGGCACGCGAAGCCAGAATGATCCGGAATGCTTTTGTTGGCTTTGCTTCAACCTGAGCGGCTAGTTGCAACCGATAAACAAACAAGGAATGCCTTTGAAGTTTGCCCAATCGGCCAGACCAGTGGCGGTAGTTCTTGCACGTCGAAGTCACTAAAGCGTTTGTTGCAAATCCAGAGGATGGGTTTGTGCGGACTGCAGGTGTTGCATGTGACTTGCAGAAGATATGCTTGACAGTCCAGGCTGCGTGCAGGCACCTTTTTACTTGTGCCGGTCGGGGAGCCACACATCTTTTCCTCCGTTTTCTGGTGGGCGAGCTGCATTTGAAGCGCCCGCATCCCAGTTCGGAGGCTTGCTGAGGGCCTGCGTCGGCTGAAGCCCCAGCTATCCCCGCCCTTGCCCCGTTCAGCTTCTGCTTCACCAGCACGCGGGCGGAGGCGGGAGAGAGCGCATGCGGTGACGGGGCAAAGGAAACATGCATGCACTCTGATGTATTGGGACCCAACCTCACGCAACAGCGGCCAAACTGATCAAGGCAGGCTTGCTACAGGCAAGTTCAATCAGGATCCTTTCAGGCTCAGGCAGGCTTAGGGCTCAGGCAGGCTTAGGGTTTAGGAAAGCTTGGTGGACCCTGCTTTTGACCCATGAGGCCATATTTTGGCAACAGCAAGGTGCCGTTGTTCAACCCGACAGCTGTTTCCGGATGTTTCCCAAATACACTTGCCGTCATTCGGAGTTGAAACAGGCAACAGCTCCTCCAAATACATCCCAATACACCCTTGCAAGGGCCGGCCGAGATGCAATCAATCTGTTTCCCCCTATATTGGCCATGGGTCAAAAACCTATGCCTCCATTTTGGGGCGGATGAACACCCATGTAGCACCTATTTTGATGTTCATTAGGGGTTTCCTGCTGGGTTTTGACCCACAGCCATATTGGCCTTTATCAACACTACAGGATTTGCGTTGGCATGTTGGGAGCTGAAACTTGGGGAGGCTCAGCTGCCCGGCGCCCACGGCTTCTGCGCCCTCGCACCCTTTTCTGGAGCATGGGGGCCAAGGGTGACGGCGCACGCCAGCGTGTGCTGGGGAGTTGGGGGCATGTGCAATCCCACTTGCCCGTTATTGACAAGTTTCTGGCGCAGAGAGAAGAATGTGCCCGGACAGCCTAGAGCATATCGGGCACTGGGGTTCAGGCATAGGTTGCCATGGGTGGTGATGATGCCTTTTGGCTACCTCTCCAACTTCCTAGCATAACCTTGATCGCATTTGTTGCAGTTTGCCAAGAATCTTCGGAGAGGCTATGGGGGGGGGCTATCCCTGGATAAGATCCAAGGATAAGCCCTTAATAAGGCCTGATTAAGGGCTTAATAAGGGATAGCCCCCCGCCCCTTGGCGGTCCATGAGTGCCTGGTCTCCCTGCACAGGTTCGGGAATCCACTCCTGCGCAGCTTCCGACAGGCGCATGGCCCAAGGGGCCCAAAACCTCAGGTGCTTCAGCCACAGCCCATGGCATGGTCGCCTCAGTTGCGGGACGGCACCTCTGAGATCTCCGGCTTGGGCCGCCAAAGTCGCTGGCAGGCAGGGGATCCCCGGGGAGACAAAAGTTGCTGGGAGCATCGAGGTGAGTCGCAAAAGGGGGCATGTGGGAGAGAGCCTGTGATTTTCTTCTCTTCTGCAAGCCATTGGTGCGAAGCGCCAGGCTTGGCTCCTCGAAATTGCCCCACAACTCGTACCAACAGCCGCTTCCACATTGACATGGGGATTAACATGTTCCATATCGTTCGAACAATCTGGCAGTGCACTGGTCCCAATGTGACAGTGCATTTTTCTCTCAATGGCATTTACATGGCCATGGGGCATAACGGCATAACCTATGGCTCCATTTTGGGGTGGATGAACATCCATTCACCAGGGGTCAGCCACATGTTGCTGTGCAGGAGCCTTCCCGGCAGGGACTCAGTGACTTAGTGCAGCCTCGATGGATTGAATAGCATGGCCACAAGCCCATCGGCACGACTTCTTTTGGGTAGCCGTTTTAGATGGGTTCAAAGGACAAAACAAAGACCATGTTGGGTCCTCCTATTTTACCACATATCCAGCTTGACGCGGCGCCTGGATGTGTTTTTTCTTCTTTTTCTCCCGTCCGCAGGCTGCCGTCGCCAAGCTTCAGGATCTGGTCTTTGCCGAACTGGAGCCCAGCATTGTCACGCGCCGCGGCAAGCTCGCCTCACAAAGTGAGCCAGGAAAGAACACTTCGATCTTGGAGTGATTGTCGGTTTTGACGAAGGAGCATGAACCTCTCTCTCAGATCCGCAGGGTACAGCCAAGGATTTGTGAAGCAAAGTGAGCCCTCAAGACCTGGGAGTGTTTGCCACGTGCATGTTGCGCAGAAATGATACCCCTACCTGAGGTACAATGCAGTGCTGAGCGCGCTGGACAAGGTGGGCATGCCACCTTCGCGTGCAGATGGCACCGGTTTGTTTCAATGCAGTTGTGCGAACGTACCCGGGTTCCCCTGCCTTGCGGGTAGCGTTGCGCGCACACACACACACACACAAAAATCACAGAAATCCCACACAATTACACAAAATCACCCAACATCACACAAAATCACACAAAATCACAAAATTACGAACTGTCACAAACACACTCACACACAATCACAGCCACACACACAACCACACAACACACACACACACACACGCAATGAGACACGCGCACACAGATAAAGTCACGCACACGAAGTCACGTACATGCATATTCACACAGAATCACGTGTACACACAAGCACACACACACAACACAACACAAGCAAATAGAGTTGTAGAGAAGTCATCACACACACGGAATCAACCATCTATTTTTTGTGAGAAGCCAAAAACCCAGGTGCTCGTTCAAGGTCCTGACTTTCTTGATGACGCGTAAAATTCCATAAGGAACCTGTCGCTTGTAGGTCAATGTACTGAGGCTACCGCTCATCAAATGCAAAGCACACCATTATATTGTGCCAAAAGTGTGCATATAGTGCTTGGCGAGAAATGATGAACTTGGGCCGGGCCAATAGGTGTAGAATCAACCTCTTTCTAGGCCTTTGCAACTTATATACATTCAATGGGGTGCGATTTTGTTTCAGACGACCCTTTGGGTCGCACTGCAGGGAATCAAGATTCCGTGGCGATTCGCCATTTAAGAAACCCGGCAACCCCTTGCGACTTGACTTGATGGTTTGGGACCTTGTTTGATTTTTAGAGGAGAGGGGTCCTTAAATGACTCAATATCCCATCATATCCCCCGTTGTTTCACAAATAGCGCTTGTCACTGAGCCATTGCAGATTGAACATCATGTCATGTTCGCGTTGGTTTCCAGTGGTTCAACTCCCAAAGCCGAGCTCGGAAACTTTCCTCAGACCTCCCGAGTTCACTGGCACTCAGTTTTCCTCTTTTCTCCGGCTTCCGGCGCCCTTGTTTTCCCAAACGGTCGGTTAGGGCCTTCCCTTTCCCTGCCTGGGGCGCGCCACGCCGCAGCTCCAGCATGGCTCCTTAACAGATCTCCATTTTGCCCATTTGAAACATGGCTTTTTCCACCAAAATAAAGGGGAACCACCATTTACAAGGCAATGTTCAGGTATATGATGTAAGGATCCCTGTCCAGGCCTCGCAGAGCGCGGCGGCGGCGGCGCTGCTGCTGCGCCTCCCGCGCCTCGCGCTGCGGCAGGACGCGGTGAGCTTCTGCAGCGCCGCCAGCGCCTGCAGCCGAGGCGCCGAAGCGCCGGACCCGGCGCCGTGAAGTTGGAGCGGCTTGGGGCTTTTTGATGTGATTTCCTTTTGTACAAATTCCTGCATTTTTATACCCTCACAAATCTACTCAAAGAATAAACCAAGACATTTGTCTATGTTTTTGCTGTCATGAAAAGAATGCAAACAAAATCAATAGCAATGGAGCTTTCCAGGTTGCAGCTGTGGAGCGCATTTGTTTCTCGGAACGGGCGCTAACATCAATCCCAGAACGCCGCAAGATTATAGGTGGATGGACGGAATCCATTTCGCAGGACCGAAGAAGCCCACGTTTCTGATGATTCCCCTGAAACTACCACAGCCATGGTCTGGCAAAGTGGTGCGAAATGGATTTCGTCCATCGACAGCATGGCTTTGGCTTGCACAGTGGCCTTCGCCAGGTCAGCAGTGGCAGCGGTCCCTGGATGTGTTGAGTGCCTTCAGGGACCAGGCGCTCGAGCCGAACAGCTTTTCAGGCACGTGTTGCGCTTGTGCGTTAGGCTGGCAAGTGGCAGGAAGGAATTTCCTTTTCCAACCCCCAACTCCTAAATGGAAGATGCGACAACATGATGGCCAAATGGGACATAATTAGCAGCATATTCGCTTCCAGCCCGAGCTGCCAGTCATTCTGGCACTGGCGAGGAAGGAGACAGTTGCCCGATCAAACCACTGCAGAATTGCATTCGGCATGAATAAAGTTGCGGCATTGCAAGCACATGCGCAAATGACACTTGCAGCAGTTTCCTTGTGAGCCCGGCATTTCCAGGCAACGCTGCTGTCAGCGCGCTTGAGCGCGGTGCGCAATGGCAGTCGGCTCTCGCTGCCTTGCTCCAGGCTAGTGAAAAGCGCGCAGGCAGCAGTAGTTTGAGTAGCTGCTTTGTGTTTGGGCGAATGTTCATGTTAGTCATGTGTTGTTGTTTTTGGAGGGTGCTCTTTTGCGGTTTAACGGGGAACCAAGAGGAACACCGTTTGAATCCATTTGAGAGGGTGTCCCCAATGGGCTCATGTTCCCCATGCATGTCACATCGGTTTGCCTTGTTAGCTCCAGGCGCTGGAGCGAGGGCCTGCGCCGGACCGCATCACCTTCAACACGGCCTGGGCCCCATGCGGCGCTGGGTACCTTCCATTTCCATTCTTTCCAGGGATCCTTCTAGAAAACCTCCGGAGAACGCCGGTTTTTGGAACGATGGTTGAAAGGCATGGATGGAATCAACCTTTAGAAGTGGGGCATGTTTGGAGAGCACCCTG